GCCCCCCCCCCCCCCCCCCCCCATCTTCCCCTTCGTTACAACCCGTTTCTCACCCTGATCTCGCCGATGCCAGCGCCCACGAACCCGACCGAGATCGCGTTGCAAGCCTCCACCACGAACGGTTCGCGCCTATTTGCCTCTGATACGATCGCTGCAACGCTGACTTCGGGGTATGAATGCGATACAGGAATGTCGTCCGCCGAGAAGAAGAAGCAAGCTAGGGCCAAGTTCGAGGGCGTGTACCAGGTCCTGCGCAAGGACCTTCTGGACCACTTTGCGGGCGAGGGCATGCCGAAGGACGCCATCGAGTGGTACTCCAGGGTATAGCCCAGCAGAACTCGGAAACGCTTCCGGAACTGATGGTCTATAGAACTTGGACTACAATGTTCCCGGCGGCAAGCTCAACCGCGGCATGTCCGTCGTCGACTCGGTGGAGATCATCAAGGGTCGCGCGCTCACCGACGAGGAATACTTGAAGTCGGCGATCTTGGGGTGGTGCATCGAGCTGGTAAGCGCTCCAACTTTCACCTCTGAGCTTGGTCAAGGATTCACCCGACGCTAGCTTCAAGCTTTCTTCCTCGTCTCTGATGACCTGATGGACTCCTCGGTCACCCGTCGCGGTCAACCATGCTGGTACCGCGTAGAGAACGTCGGCCTGATCTCGATTAACGACGCGTTCATGCTCGAGGGCGCTATCTACCACCTCCTCAAGAAGTATTTCCGGCAAGACTCGTACTACGTTGAACTGCTTGACCTCTTCCACGACGTCAGTGGCTTTTATGCCCCGTCAAATCCCTAGAACATTCTCACAGCACGTTACAGGTCACCTACAAGACGGAAATGGGCCAGCTGATCGACCTCATCACCGCTCCTGAGGACCACGTCGACCTCGACAAGTTCTCGCTAAAGAAGTACGTGTGCTTCCTGTTTATAACCGTGCGGCGTACCGTTTTAACTACGATCATCGCAGGCATCAACTCATCGTCATCTACAAAACCGCCTTCTATTCCTTCTACCTCCCCGTCGCCCTCGCCATGCACGTCTGCGGCATCCCCCCATCCCCAAACTCTCCCTCGGACCCTTACAAGCTTGCGCACGAGATCCTTATCCCGCTCGGCGAGTACTTCCAGGTCCAGGACGACTTCCTCGACTTCGGGGGCACCCCGGAGCAAATCGGCAAGATCGGGACCGACATCCTCGATAACAAGTGCTCGTGGTGCATTAATACCGCGCTCGCGGTCGCGACCCTAGAGCAGCGGAGGGTGTTGGACGAGAACTATGGCCGGAAGGACGCGGCGAAGGAGGCGAAGGTGAAGGAGGTGTTCGAGCAGGTCGAAATTCGGAGGCGGTACGAGGAGTACGAGCAGACCGCTTACGAGAGGATCAACGGACTGATTGAGACCATCCCCGCGGACGCGAAGGATGGGGAGCTGAAGAGGGAGGTGTTCACTAGCTTCTTGTCGAAGATCTACAAGAGGACGAAGTGATCGAAGGGTTGGGATATCAACTGCTAATCAAAAGACCATTGTATAGTCGTATCATCGTGCTGAATAGAGATGCTTTGTTGAGATGCATTGAATGTGTATATACACCCAAAGAGGAGGAGGTGGTGGTTGTATACAGCGTACACGCAGAATTGTGGCGTAGACATGTGCCCGCGATAACTGATTTCGCGGCTGGCCCCTAGCGTTCTTCGTTTCACCGACCGGTAATATGGTTGCCTACTACCCTCTCGGTTCTTGGGCTCCAACTGAAACCCTTTGACGGCTGTTCACATTCATAATTCGTTCCAACACACGACTACGAAAATCTTTTCATCGCCAACGCACATCACTTGGTCTAGATTAGCTCGCACCCCAGCTCTCATCTCTGATTCCAAGCACCGCGACCTGAAGCAGCATGCACAGTCACCATAGTCATTCCGGCCAGTTCTGTGCTCATGCGAAGGGCAACCTGGAAGACGTCGTTCGAGAAGCCATTGCTCAGGGCTTCGTGGTGTACGGCCTAACTGAGCATGTCCCGCGTTACAGGGACGTCGACCTTTACCCTGAGGAGGTGCGATGATTTACATGGTCTCAGCTGCAGTAGACTAAATGCTATGCCTCTTCAGCGCGACCTCTGGATATCGATAGATGACCTAGAAGAACGATTCCGTTCGTTCCTGCACGAAGCTTGGCGTCTCAAAGCGCAGTATGCGTCGCAAATCACTCTACTCGTCGGTCTTGAAACTGAATCGATATCCCCGATCGACCTCGAGCAACTGGATGCGCTACTTGAAAGGCACGCCGGTCAAATAGACTACATTGTCGGATCCGTCCACCACGTTAACGAGATCCCTATCGACTTCGACTTCGCCACATACGAACGCTGCTTGGATTCGTTCACGTCTGCTGAGGTTACATCTAATCATGAGCGACTAGCGAGGTATCTGCTCGAGTACTTCAAATCGCAACATACGCTGTTGGAGCGCTTCAAACCGGCCGTTGTGGGCCATTTCGATCTGTGCCGCCTTTACACGCCGGACGTTCGCATATCTGACTTTCCGGACGCCTATGCCCAGATGGAGGCCAACATCGCGCTTGCAATCGGATATGGGGCCCTCTTTGAGGTCAACGCTGCGGCGTTCAGAAAAGGGTGGGAAGACGCGTATCCGGGCACGGACGTTGTTGAGGCATGCACATCACTTGGATGCGTCTCTATCATACCACTGATGCTTGCACAGGTCATTTTGAGACATGGCGGTCGATTTTGCCTGTCGGACGACTCGCATGGCCCACACGCGGTGGGGTTGAATTACCATCGTATACCGGCTTACCTTGCGCGCGCCGGCGTCACCGAGCTCTGGGCGCTCCAGCCCGCTATATCCTCCGAAGGCGATGTGCAGCCACGGTCTTCCGTTCATGCCATGCAGGTGACGGATTGGCAATCATGGCCGTCGTGGGCCTTGAACCGACCAGTCACAGTGACGGCGTAAGGTGTACGTCATATTCGTACACGATGCAGTACTTGGCGATCATCCGCGATGCAGTCGGTTTCGTGCGTCTCGTCGATTGAGGGAAAGGTTCTGTATGACGGGTAGTGCAAGAGTGGATCTGCGCGCTACCTTGCTCCGCTGGCAGCGGTACTCATGCTCGTCGTATGCAGTAACTTGATCACTTAGTACTCCTAAACAGAGCATCGTGCTTACAGTAAGCGAGAATCCTAAAGCGCTGCTGGCGCTAGCAGGTAGTATATGGGGTTAACTGGTTAAGTAACGATTCTGATTTCGAACGGAAGGTAGGTCACTATGTTGCCTGACGACGTCCGTACCGCCGATGCTACTGTAGCTTAACTACCGTGAGTGCGTACGCTTGAGATCCAAGAACCACCTCCGGATCGATCTCACCGCATATAGCTTTGACAGCCTGCGACGCCTCTCGCAATCCATAGCAGCGAGCCATAGTGACGGTCAATACCAGGCACTATTACGAGTGGATAACCTGACCGTTCGGATTCAAGGCAATTAAGGGAGTCAACACTCACCGCGGCTGTGGGATCTGTCTTGCACTCGGACGGTTTCAACAACAGTTCTGCATACTGTATCTCTCGCAAAGCAAAACCCAAGCTGTGCGACTGCGCCGTCGAACCCGGAAACGTCACGTACCCGTGTATCCCGTTGGCCTAGGAACGCAATCAGGGCTAGGCAATCCACAGCAAAGATACGTGGGTGCCATCTAGGCGCCGGCGCTCATCTGGAGGATATGTACAGGCTATCAGCACCTTTCGTTCCTCAGCCGCGCTTGCAGGCCTTTTCGTTCCCTTCTGCCGCTAGGTTGGTACCCTGGTGGTAGCCTCTGTGATGTCTTTCGTTCACGTCGGCGGGGCTGACAAGACCGTGATGCAAGATGATCCCGCTTCACCCGTACTCCTCACTTGGGGTGCGTCGCTGACCCTCATCAGTGCCTCATATTGCTCACATGTCTTCCGTTAGATCTCGCAGATCAGATTCTTCGTATTTGCGACGTATCGGGCGTGTCTCCCCCTCAGTATCAGGCCCTAGAAGATGGCATAGCTGTGGACCGCCCTCACAATCAGTCCTTGATCAACGACCTTCACAGCGTACGTGCATTGCCAATTTGATGTGCCAGGTTGTCTGATTACATGATGGCTTGACTCAGTATTTGCTGGAAGTAAACGGATCGGGACAACATGCCTCATTGGCTCATCCTCCGAGGCGACGCGTCGCCCGTATCATCGAGAAACTCGTCTTCTCTAGCCAATGCTTACCGACATCGTTGTTCAAGACCGAAGTGACCCTCTGCGATCGGGAGCCATTCAAAGGCGGCGCTTTTGGAGATATCTTCAGAGCCTCGTTCGAAGGTCGGCTCGTTGCACTCAAAAGACTGCGCGTGTTCGCTGGAGACGAAAACCCGGAAAGATTCACTCCTGTCGGTAAACATCCATCGCACCTGAACGTTCCGCTGCTAACTCGGCGTAGGAGTTTTGTCATGAGGCCATACTATGGCAGCGTCTCAGACATAAGAATGTTCTGCCGTTCCTCGGCATAGATAACACCTCTTTCAGCCCGCATCTGTGCATGATGTCGCCATGGATGAGGAACGGCAACGTTCTTGATTATATACGCGCGGCTCGGCCAGGGTACGTTGACGTAGTACGGCTGGTGAGCTAACGATGTCGTCAGTTTCATTATATCCGTATATTGACACAGATGTAGCTCGCCGAGATTGCGGAAGGACTCGCCTATCTCCACAGCGAGCATGTTATCCATGGTGATGTTCGCGGGGTGAGTCTTGATACCTTCTCTTCATTGATCACATTTTCATCTCTTCACAGGTGAATGTGCTGGTAGACGATCAGGGTCATGCTATGCTGGCAGATTTTGGCCTAGCCAAGATATCCAGCAATACAGCGACCGCGCATACCACTAAAGGGCACGGCGCGCCCAACTGGCTTTCACCCGAACTGCTGCAGCCAAAGGAGGGGTTCCATCGCACGACTGCGAGCGACGTCTATTCTTTGGCATGCCTTGGCCTAGAGGTGATTCCACGTCTCGTATTTTCATGATCAGGGGCCAAAACAGACTTCCTCTAGCTGTTCACAGGGAAGCCACCTTTCGCGGACATCAGGCCACCAGTCAATGTCGCGCTGATGGTACTCAAAGGGGAGCAACCTAAACGGCCAAGGATGAGTGAGTGTTTCCGAGGCGTCCGGCTTCGGACCAAGCTCTGGACCCTCCTTTGTGAGTGCTGGAAGGCCGACCCGAGCGAACGGCCGTCTACGGAGGTCATAGTGGCCCGCCTATCTGATATGGTCGTCGAAGCCGAGGAATCCCAGAGCATCCGCACGTTATCGCGTCGGTCGAAGTCGATGGTGTCCATGGCCAGCTCCAATCGCTCACGGAAGGCGCCGCGGTCGAAACTTGGGGTCCAAGATACCTTGTGGTCTGTCCTTCCAGCTGCTCTGCGCAAGTACAAGATTACGGACTCGTGGCGCAATTGGGCGATGTTCATTGTCTACGGCCCTACGGGTATGCCGTTCTCCCTATGATTGAACTTTCATCGTTACCAACGTGTCATGTCAGGGAAACGCGTCGAACGTTGCCTCAATCTGAACGACAAACCTTTGATGCTCTTTTACGACCTGAAAGCGCGTGGTGAAGATCCGGTCTTCATGCTCAGGCACATGAAGGACATCGATTCCCCGATCACCATCGCGTCCCGGAAGAAGTCGGGCAATGAAGATGCTCAGTACGACTTGATGCCCTTGACTCCACAAGATATTGGGGTAACTTGAGCCTTCTCCTCCTCTAGGCGTAAGTTTGATGGATCCCACAGGTTCCCGTGTCCTCATTGGTTGGATTCAATGTGGGAGGAGATCTGTCTGCCGAGCCGAGCACACCCATGCTCGGCGACAGCTTCAGCACGAATAGTTCGCCACCGTGCTTCGCCGACACGATTGTCGAGTCGCCTCAAGCCGAGTCTCCGTCGCGCGACCCATCAACGCGACTCTCCCCAGTCGATTCTATCGCGAATCGTAGGCTGGGCGTCGCGATCTCGTACGCAATCGCCATCTTTCCAAACACGGCGGAGAACGAAGGCGAGCTCGACGTTGCAGTCGGCGGCGCGTTCGTCGTGTTTCCACAATCGTCGTCGTGGTGGATCGCGCAGCGAGATGCCACCGGGAAGGGCATCTTCGACGGGGGCGATGCAAAGCAGGGCTGGGTGCCAGCGGGCTGCTTTTTGACGCTGAGCGTGCCAGTAGCGACAGCGGTCGCGGAGGCGCGAGAGCGGCGATCTCCTGGGCGCTCGGGCCGGTCGTCGTCCTCTCTTGCGAGGACGGGCTTGACGAATGACCCGATACTGCCGATGAGGATCGAATCGAAGTGCTTGCCCGGGGTGATACTAGAGGACTATAAGAAACGCGAGGCGCATGAGTTGGAGGTGGCGAGGGATACGGCTGTGCTGATATATAAGCGATACGGTCACTGGTCGTATGCGGTCAAGCTAGTATCTGGCGAGCGTGGATGGCTTCCGGTCAGTTTTTACACAACATTGGAGTATAGACGGAAATGATTGACTTCCTCCTTCCAGTCATGGTACATAGGGAAAGTGACCGTGGAAGGCCAACGTAACGGCGATGCGTCGCTGACTTTGCCCCTTACTCCGAGAATCCAGGGAGGCGACGATGAGGACGGGTACTGGGACGTGATTGACTGGCAGATGCCCGTCGTCCCGAGCACGCCACTCTTCGTCGAATCATCCGTCGCCCCCATCGTCGGGAGCACGCGCTCTGCGGCCTCGTCGCGAATCATTGTAACGGGAAAGGAGAACCTGAAGGCGGAGGTGACGCGCACGGCGCGGGTTGCGAAGAGAGCAGTGCTCGTGCCGAGCGCGAAGAGCACGAGGAAAGCTAGGAGGGAGTTTTCGATCACTTCTGCGCAGGTGTTGTTGAGTGCTTGAGTGCGATGTATCGGGGGAGTATAAATATGTTGTAATTCAGCAGCGTGTATAGTCCTAGTTCGTTTGCGTCAACTGAGTAACGTCTCTGGTCTGTATCAGTATCATCGTGCTGCAATCCACCTGGAAGTTGCAGCATCGGGAGTGTCAGAGAACAAGCTTAAGTGTGTCCGACGAAGAGGGCCCGGGGGCGACGGCGGCAAATCCCGTGGTCGCTGCCCGCCGCTCACGTGCCCGTCGCGCCCTTGTATCGTGCGCCACAAGCTAGCCGACGCTACGCCCTTGTTCTGCGCGACGACGGCGACGACGAACGACCATCGCGACGACAACGCTCACGGCATTCACCACGTCGCCCAGTACTGCGAGCACCAGGATCAGATGAGCCATCGAGCGCCACCACGTGCGTGACTCGTGTTCAGGCGTTTGCTAGTTCACGCTACAGGACTTGACAAGGCGTTTGCGAATCACAGGCCGAATAAATATCTGTACAAGCACGAACTATATACGCAATCGACACGAATACACCATCATATGAAAGCCAGTAACGCAGCTCGTATGACCGGTCAGTCGCAAAGCTCTTGCTTGCCATGCATCGTAGTGCTCATACGCGTCACACGTAGCACCAGAAGAAAATTGGGACGACGACTTCGTATTTCAACAGCAAGATCACCACAGAGCACAACCTCACACTCCTTCGCGTACCCGCACCGTCGTCACTAGCCCCGCCTTACGGCCACCTCCTCATTCCGCGTCATCTTCGAATCCTCCCTCGCCGGCCCGTCCGTCTCCTTCGTCTCGGCGCACGAACCTATCCAGACAATCGCAGCTGAACGACTGGGCCGAACATCCAGGACATATCACGCCATCAGGTTCATCCGGCCGCGCCGCCTCTACGCCTACCGAGAACTGGGACGACGATTTCGAGGACAATCCGGATTCCCCGCCTCAAGGGACCAAATCCCGTCGACAAAATCCTGGAACTCCATCAACTTCTAGGGTTGCGAAATCTACCACCTCTCCCAATGCCCGAACCACCTCGCCGCCCATCGAGAACTGGGACGACTCCTTCCGCGATTCGCCCATCGGCAAAGCCCAGCGTCCGCGTCTGAACGCGTCATGGGGTTCGTCAGATGACGACCTTGAATTAGGTTTTGCCGACAAGGAGGAGGACAGGACCGTCACTGCTCGCTCGCGCCGTAACATGGTGGCACGCTCCTCCCCGCCGCCACCTGTACCGCCACTCCCCATCTCCTTCACCGCGCACACATCCGACCCTGCCACACACGGCATTGAAGCCTCCATCCTCTCTGGCTCCTCTGACCAGCCCACCTTCCCGCGCTCCCCCTCCACCTCTGTCTTCTCCATCCCGCTCTCGTCTACGACCGGCCGCGACTCGGCCCAATACGGATCTGAAGCGCATCTGAACCTCAGGCGCACTACGTCCGAGTCGTCCTCCCCCTTCGTGCCGCCTGCCCAGCCGCGATACGAGCGTGAACGCCGTCGTTTACGTAAGAAGAGTCGTCCGCAGAATCCGGGGCCAGACATCTTCGAGATGATGGAAGTGCCCGAACCTGCCGTCTTGCGCAAGAAAACGCGCCCAGGTCCAGGGCCAAGTAACGGCAATCTCTCCCCGTCTGACGCGTCCGAGGACCCACCGCACGCGCATTCGGCCGTTGCACCCTCCACGCCGGAGCGCGAACGCGCCACGAGCCCTGCGCCAGGCGCGATCGATATCACCGCGACGCCCGCGTCGAAGACGCCTATCCTGTCCCGCATCGGATCCGTCAAGAAATGGGGCACCCGCAAGAAGCGCGCGAGCACGACGCCCTCTGAGCTGACGTCGCCTCACCGGCCGCTCTCGCGCGCGTACCGAACCGACGAAGACGACGAGGGCGACGGAGGTATGGAGGCGACCCCGCGCCCACCGAGCTCTGTCGCGGGCTCCCCGCCGGGCGCGCACGGCCGCGGCTGGTTTTTTCGCGCTGGTGGCGGGGCTGGGCCCGCGTCTCCGCCACCGGCAACCCGGACGCACGCGCTCGGCGCGGGTGGTAGCAGCCGCAGCGCCAGCGGCGGGTCTTCGGGCGCGGACGCCCCGGGAGCGCTGAGGCGGGAGACCAGTCTGGACCGCATGCGGCATCTGCTGGGCGGCCTGGGGTCGCCGATGAAGGGGAAAGGGAAGGCGGCGGAAAAGGAGAGGGAGGGCGGGAAGGGGAGGGAGAGCTATGGATATCTGAGGAGGCATTCGAAAGGGAGGAGTGTGGTTGGCACTGGAGAGGGAAGGGAGAGCAGGGCGAGCTCTAGGGCAAGCACGCGGGCGAGCATGGAAGGTACGAGCGACAGCCATGCACTCCCGTACGTCCTGCCGCCGATCCCGCCCAGCCCCTCGCTGCTCCCGAGACAGCCGAGTAAAGGGCGGAGCACGCCGATCCCGCGTCATGCGTCGTACACGTCAACGCCCCGCAAAGACGCGGACGAAGCGATGGGCCGCAAACAGAAGAAGCGGAGCGCGTCGAGCAAGTCGGCGCTCGTGAGTGGGAGCGAGTATTCGCACGACGAGGAGGCGCTGGCGTCGGGCAGGAAGGAGGGCAAGTTTTTGAACCGGGTGAGGAGGATCAGCCTCGTGGGCCGGCACAAGTCGTCGAAGAGCATCTCGACTCATCGAGACGCTCCGGAGGACCGGAATGCGCGCGTATCCCTTACTGACCCCAGGGAGCGCGTTGGCCAGATACCGATGATGCCTGCCTCCCAGCTCAAGACGCCGGAACAGAAAGAGCAGCTCTTGCCACCCATCGAGCTTCAGCCTCCTTCACCCCCAGATCGGAACAGCGAGCGAAGTCGCCTTACCGCATCCTCTTCCGAACCTGCTCCTTCCGTGTCTTTCGAAGCTTTTGGCACCGATCCGATCCACAACACGACGCAGCGTGCAAAGTCGCCGATGTCCATTATCAAAGCGCCCGGCTCGCCAACGCATTACGCATCTCTTGGGCGCTCGACCCCGGTTTCTGCCATCACGGGGACGGCGTCTAACGTCCCGAGGCGGAACTCGTTGGGCGACCTCAAGATCCCGGCAAGGATCAGTCAGGCGCAAGTAGGTCTCAGGCGCGACTTGGGGATGGTGAGGGAGTTTGCGGCTAGCGTCGAAGGTCGGTCAAGCTGCCTATGATCCCAATTACCGCTGTGTTCAATATTCTCTCCAATAGCCCTTAAGAGTCTTCAGGACGCCTATCGTGCCCTTGTGCGCGAAGTCCAAGCCATACTGGAGACTCCCGAATCGCCGTCCCGCGCTACCTCTCCTACAACTGGCTTCCGTATCGGGCGCCGTCGCGCACGTTCGAATGCCAACCCTCCGACGGCGCCAGAACAGACGCACAAGGAGCTCGCGAACGCATTCGGCACGATCGACTCCAAGTATCGCATCGCTTGGGAATGCGCCGAGCTACTTATCGAGCTTGGCGGCGGTCCGCCTGCCCCGGCTGCGGCTCCACCTTCTAGCGTTTCCGCCCCTGCTGATATGCACGCACATGCTCAGGGGCAGGCAGCAACGGATGGGCAGAAGAAGGGGAGGGAGAGAGCGATCACTCTCGCGGGCGATGACCGAGGATCGAAGCCACCTACTCCAACGTTCAATGGCCCGCCGGCTGCTATTGTTCCTCCTCCTTCATGGCGGGCATCTACTGGGCGACATGACCTTAGTCAGCGACAGCTGCTCCTTCTTCGCGACATGCTCCAAAGCTCAGAAGGCTCCTCCTTGAGCCCGCCGATCTCGTCGACCCCCGTTATGGAGGAGCCCGTCGTCAATCGGGCGTGGAGGTGGGGAGACGCCATGAACAGCACAATCACTCTGCCGTCGGAGGAGGGAAATTCGGTGTCTGTGCCGTCGCCGTTGAGGAAGCAGCGCAGCCACCGCTTGGGTATGCGTGGGTTCAGGGACATGCTCAAGTCCCTCCGAAAGGGAGTCGTAGAGCATCAGCATCAACAACCGACCCTTCCGCTGCCTTCGCCAGAGCACATACGTGATCATGCGCAGCTACCAGGGCGGCGTCGGGCGAAGACAAGCTCAGGTCCGGACACCGTCCATTCCAACAGTTTGCGCTCGCCATATGGCACTCAAGTTTCGCTTTCCAACCACAAGTCCTCTCCGCGTCGCCCCTCGCTCGCATCTATCTTCCGGCTCGGACAACGCAGCAAGTCGAACGCGGGCGGGGGTAGCTCTGACAATATGGCGAGCACGCGGAGCGCCAGCAGCCACTCTGCGCAGGCCAGCACGTCGTCAGAGGAGGAGGACTGGGATCGGATGGACTCGGCGAGCGACATGGACACCGCAGCCGAGGCGTTGCATATGAGCGGAGACGGCACGGGCACGGTTAAGATGATGTCACACGGGAAACGGCCCCGGAGGCCGCCAATCCTTGTTCCAACCGGATCCGGATCGAGGACGGACGTCAGCTCAGAGGGTGCAGCCAAATCCGGCCGCTCGGCATCGACAACGCCCGTCTCGGCGATGGCGAGCGCGTCGAGATCGAGCATCTGGGACGAATCGCAGTCGTCGCATCATTCGCAAGGTCAGGCGCGAACGACGCGGCTGTCCAACGTCGACGAACGGGACGAGCACGATCGGGAGCGACGTGGGCTCACGCCTCGCAAACCCAAGAGCAAGGCCCGGCCAGGGACCGAGCCTGTTCCAAGCTTGCCGTCTCATTCTGGCTCGGTGCGGTCCGTGCCCCCGCCGTCGGCGCATTCGGCGGACAACGTCGGGTTCGCGCTGGCAATGACGCCGGAGAATATCAAGCCGCTGTTGGATAACGCGCGGGAGGTGCAGGCACGGCTGCAGGACTGCGTAGGCGAGGTGAAGACGCTACTTCAAGCGCGGAACCAACGGCCCTCTTGAAATATATAATTTGCGGACATGGAACGGAGGGTGTGTGGACGATCGCTTTGTGGCGCTTTCTCGCTGTCTCGTTATCTCGCTTATCGTTGTTCATGATGTATCTCACGTATTTGAACGTAGTATCAAGAATCTAATGTGAATTTTGACGTTTCATTCCTCGAAGGATCGTTTCAGCCGGTCCTATTTCCATTCACAAACAAAACCGCGACGCGATCAACTCCTTTGCATTGCAGGTTCAGAATTCAAGTTTCACAGCGCCGATTTGTCCACAGAAACCCTTCCGGTGCGCTGATGTTCGGCCACACCGCTTTGACATTCCTCCGTTCGTTGTGGGAAGGCGCTAAGTACCTACGCGAAGAATGTCCTCACGCGGTGTACGCCTCCTCGGTCTGTGATCACATCCGTGTTCTCGATGAGCCAGTCCCATATACCTTTGTCTTCGCACCAAGCTTTGGCGGACGGATGGACGAGGATGACTAGCTTCGGCTCTGCGTGACTACGACCGATGCTCGATACCTGCCCCTTCACGGACGCGAGGACCACGGGTTGGCGCTCTGTGTGCTCTCGCAAATCGATGATCCGCCGCCTGGGCCAGGAAGGGCCGAGCGCCCAACTTACGTCGACGCCGAAATGGCCCTCCTCGCGCGTCCATCGGATGAGCGGAGGCACGATGATCTCGTCCAGCGCCGGAAAGCGGGGACCGTACTCGTCTCGGGGAGCATCAGAGTAAATGCGCAAGCTCTTGACGTGCGGGTAGGTGCGCCCCGGCCGCAACACGACTTCCTTCCAATGCGCGTGGCTCTTTTCGGGACAGAAGAGGTGAAGACTTTGCAGCGAAGGGAGGTCCAAGGACCGGAAATACGACGCGGCCAACTGGCTCGATGGTAACTTGGCGCATTCGATGGTGAGCTCGCGGAGCCGAGCCAACGTCATGTCCGGGTACGAGACCGGTTCAAGCCCGTCTGTCCGCGGTAGCGGGATTTCCCCGTCTGGGAATCGGAGACACAGCTCCTCCAGTTTCTGTAGCTGCCCCAATCTTAGCCAGCACCGACCGTCGTAATGATGGGGAGACCAATGGAGGTCGAGCGCGACCAGGTTCAAGAACGGGCACGAAGCGAACTGCGTCAAGAAAACGCCGAACAGGCGGAGATCCTCCAGGGCAGGTGAGTGGACGGTGATATTGTCAACAGTGATCTGAAATCTCGAGTCCTGGTGAATGCCGTGCAGTCCTCCTTCGAGATGGAGCGATGTCATGTCTTGAAAAGCATCTTGTCCGAACCAATCCCATATGTATTGATGACGCAGCTTCCCTTCGGTCTTCTCGAAGCGCAGATGCAAGTGATGGATCTGACGACCTCGTATCTCTGAGAGTTGTCCGTTAAACGCAATCGTCTCTCCTTTGGCACGAAGAGCTGCGACATCTCTTAAACCTTCCGTGATCGTCAGATCCAACGGGTGGGGATAAGAACGCGACAGTATAACGGGGAGGATAGGCTCGGTGTGTGCAATCCGCCCATAGCCGAAAACGCAGATGGAGACCCTAGACCAAAGCTGCGGCGTAGACAGCAACGTTTCCCGCCACTCGCGGCAAACCGACGACAACGTTTTGAGAGTCCACGTGGCAAATCCCGGACCCGCATCGTCGATGACGGCTGCTGCAATCAGCAAGAGCAGTTCGGTGGGCAAGGAGTGCATCGGAGACGGGGCGGTCGCGCGATCGGTGCCGCGACCTTTCGATTTCCTCGAGACGATCTTCCCTGAAGAGTGTCTTGGTCGCAGACGCGTCAGTATGAAGCTGAAGAGGGTGCCTGCCGCGAACCGCTCACGCTATACCCATTCTGCAACGGCACCTGCGATGGGATTCCAAGTGGCGATACGTTGTAACGGTTGAAGATGCAGACGGACAGCAAAGAAAACGAGAGCGTCGTGAATGTGCATCGTATCCTAATCGGGAGGACAATGGAAAAACCAAAGAACTGTACAGGACGAGGCCTACGAAGTCATGAGTCCGTACATCGATTACTTACTCGACTGGAAACGGAGTTGTAACTGATCTTGTCCGCGAATTTCGTGACTCCGCGCGCCTATACGCCGGGCTTCAACGGACGGATCAGCTGAGATAAGTACCGGGAGACGAAGCTACAAGAAAGACGGAAGGGTCGTGGCAGCTCCCCGGGAACGTCGAAGCAGGATACTAGTGTGCTTTCACAGGTAGAGTATGCCTCCGTGTCCGTGATCAGTTGGAGATTTTGCAACGAGCCAGTCCCGGATGCCGTTGTCAACGCCTCATCTTTTAGCGGACGGGTGAGCATCGTCTTCGGTGTGCTAATATCGACGCCACACCAGCTCCTTTTTTGCAGATACGAGACCCACTGGCTGTGTTTTTCGGTGTGGTTCCATGTCAAGTGCGATGACGAGCGAAGGAATTTGGGACAAGATGAGGCCATGCCCGAAGAGGCAATTCCCGCCGGTCCCGATGGGGCGGGATGCACCACGTGCGGACAATCCAGGCGGGGAAGGGCACGCCAAGCCCAAACCAGATCCGTCAGTTGCGATCCGGTGACCCTCGAGCGCGACCTGGACAGAGGGACGATGACCTCCCCGACGGTCTTCATTGCCCGCCATCGTCCGTTCCTCCCCGCCCCCTCTCTTTTCTGCCTTAAGAGCCGCCCGCCTGCTCGACGTCGCTCCTTTGCCTTTCCTTCCGCACCGACCCTTTCCCTATACAAAAATGTTCGTCAAATCGGCGCTCCTTGCCATAGTCTCCGGCGCGCTGTTCGTCGCCGCACAGACCCCCGCATACACGGGCCAACTCCTCCTCCAACGTGCGCATACAATTTGCATTTCCACTGTAATCTCGCGCTGAACGTCTTTTTTTTTTCTTTCTTTTTTTTCGTCAGCCGGCAACTCGGCTGCCAAATGCCTCAAAGTCAACAACGCCAACGGCGAACCCGTCGTCGTCCAGGCCTGCACGGGAAACTCGAACCAGCTCTGGACGTTCGAGGACGGGCAGGTCAAGATCTTCGGGAACAAGTGCCTCGACGTCACCGACGGGAAGAACGTCGACGGGGTCAAGCTCCAGATCTGGGACTGCGACGCGAGCAACCCGAACCAACAGTTCTGGTACACGGCCTACGGCGATAATCAGTGAGTTTTCTGTCTTAATGCTCTCCTTGTCATTGCCATCCTTGGGCTCACCCAGTCACTTTTTAGTTTGGCCTGGACCAAGTGAGCAAACGAGATGTCTGTATGGAGTTTGACTGAACGCGGGAGCTGACTTTTTTTCTTTTTCTTTTTCTTTGCTGCCTAGCCACGGCAAATGCCTAGATCTGACCGGCGGCAGCCTCTCCAACGGCAACCAGGTCCAGCTTTGGACCTGCAGCGGCAATAACCCCAACCAGATCTGGGACGTCGGATACATGGCCAGCAAACGCACGCATTCCTGTCTCCTCTCCCGTACTCACTCTCGCTCACCTCATACTTCATGGTATTAGTCCCGACCACGTCCGAGAGCGGCCAAACCGGCGTGAACGCGTGCGGCACCGGCTCCTCCCAATCCAGTAAATGCCAAACGGCGTGGATCAACGACGCCGACGACTTCTGCCTCTGGGCTCCGCCTACCGCCGGCGGCACCATCGGTCCGTCGTCACTCCGATCCGCACAGCCCATCGGCTGCTCCTTCTAACGTAACTCTCGCAGGCGACACGGAGCAGCAGGAGGTTGCGTGGTGCACCAAGTCCGGCCGCGGCACGCGCGTCATCCCCAACGGCGCGCTCAAGGGCGTCCACTTCGTGCGCACGCCGGATTATGTCCAGGTCACCGGCGTGGGCGACTTTACCAAGATCAACGTCAAGAAGGGCGACGCTGGGGGCGGTAAGCGGGCACTGTCCGTATCGTTAGCTCGCACCTATGCTGACGACTCTTTTTTTCTCTGCTTTGTATACGTAGAGCTCGACCCTCACGGCGCCGACTCGCGCGGTAACCCCATCGGCGGACTGGTGTACGGCGATACTTTTGGTGCTAACCTGCAGTACCACGAGTGGACGAGCTTCATCTCCGACACCGAGTTCTGTTTCCGTGCCGTAAGTAATGGCCTCGCCTCCCTCATGGATTCCGCCTCTGACGTGTCTCCCGCCCAGTGCGTCGGCCCCAACGCGCGCGAAAACTGCCAACACATCTACGACGGTAAGCTCCCTCCTCCTCTCTTCCTCCGCCCCTTTCTTGTACCTGAACTCACGCGCCTCCGCACACACCCAGAAATGGGCTGCTACTGGAACATGCCCGCCAACTACGACGCCGGCGTGTTCGAGTCCTGCAAGGCCGACGACGACCTGCCGATGGGCGTGTACGGCACCTCGACCTGGCACCAGGGCACCTCGCCCACGCCCGCCGCCCACCCCGCCGCCAAATCGAGCGACTGCACCGCGTTCCCCAGCATCACCGTCGCGCCCGTCAAGCGCGGCGAACCGACGCCCGCGCCGGTCGTCAAGTACGCGAGGGAGCTTTGAATCCAAGGTCGTACGTACGTGCCGGTGGATTTCATCATAGTTACGACTCTCTGTTCTCTCTTTCCCGCCTCATTATGGACGATCCACGGACTTTCAGGACTCATCGGCACCGATTAATACATAGTCAATAACGCTTGATATCCTAATACACTTGGCCGCGCTCCGCTATGGACGAACTTTACGGTCGAAAAAACAAACTGCAGTACCGCGCTCTCCGCAACGCGATCGTCTCTCTCGGGTATCGTACGAACGGATCTATATGATATCGCGTGCAAAAAAGGGGTTGTGATCGGGTTTCTCTGCCTTCGTTCTTGAACCTGCACCAAGCACCGCGCCGACGCACGTATTCGTTCTGTTCATAACCGCGCCAAAAAGAAAAAAAGGGAGCCGGAAAGTCGTCCCCAACTTGGGTCGATACACCATCTCCTTTTCGTCCTTGATGGCCTTATACTTTACCTTGCACAGACAGCAAGCGTCGGTTTATCGCGTCCGGTGATGAACGTTCTCGTCAAACGTCGTGAACAAGGGTATACGCGTACATACATCATGTCCAAAAAGCACTGTCCGTCTGCGTCGTTACATCATAAAGTAGAAGCGAAATGGCCATCGTTCGTCAGACCGCGCCCGCCCCCCCGCCGCTCACATCACGTTGCAGCCACCACACAACAAATCCCTCGCGCCGCCCTTCGCGCCCGATCCCGATCCCGATCCTTTACCCGCACCGCTCTTCTCCGTACCGCCTCCCGAGCTCGTCGCCGGTCTGTCGTTCACGATCGCGGAGATTCCATCGTTCAAAGTGTTTCGATTTGTTCACAATTTCGCGCGGGCGAGACGAGGGTCGTATCGTACATTAATCAATCCGATTGTTCGTTCGAGGATGTCCAAAACAAAAGAGAGTCCGAGTATCAACGTTCGTCGTTCGTCGGTGCGTATCACAAGAACACCGTTGCGTCATCCAGAAAACGTCCCCCCTTCCAAAAGAATGAGGGTGCTTACTCGAGCGAGCGCTGGGCGAGGCCGAGGCGGGGCGCGCCCGAGGTCTGGTCGAACACGGCGTAGACGCGCTTCAGGAAGACGTCACCGAGAATATCCTGCGGGTTCTGGCCGCGCGACTGGATCGCGCCGCTGAGGATCACGAGCGTCAGCACAAAGGGAAAAAAAAAAAGAGGGAAACGGCGACGCAAAGATGAGACTCACAAGCTCATGCCGTTACCCGCGTCGGCGAACACAAGGTCCGAGCCAGGGATGGAGAACATGTTGTCGCCGGCCGCGAACGAGATCGTAGACGGCAGGGTGGCGTCCGTCGGGAACACTATCGACCACCGGGGAAAAAAAATCGTCAATACAAGCAAGCGGCATGAAAACAACGCGTGGAAAGCGCACCGTATCCGCCCTGGGTGTTGTCGAGCTTGGCGCCCTCGATCGAATCGTAGATCGCCTCGGTCGCCTCGTCCGAAATGAGGATCTAACAAAAACCCCCATCATTCGTCAAAAACCAAACCGACCACAAACCGATAAACCAAAAACACCCCGACAAAAAAAAAACTCACGAGGGTGGTACCGGTATCCGCGATCGCCGTGTTCCCGCGCCCGCGGCTGACGCTCTTCCCGTCGATCTCGAGCGTCGGCGAGCTAAACTCCCAAAAGCCGTTCGACGAGTCCACGTCGACGTACGTGACCTCTCCCTGCGCGCCGCTCTCGCTCGCGTCGGCGATGTACCCAAAGGTGTAAAAGCCCGACGAGTCGCCCTTGTCGAGCTTGGCGGTGAAGACGGGCTGGGGGATGAGGCCCTCGGAGATCATGTTCTCGACCGGGGTGGCGACCGCGCTCGGGCGGACGGTGTTGATGGTCGGGAAGGCGAGGCCGAGCAGGCCGTCCGAACCTTCGCCCTACACACGTTGGTCAGCATCAGGGAGTTCAAGCCAGGAACGGAGGGACGGGGGGTGTTTTTTTCGAATAGAAAAATTTACCTGCTCGAAGGCGGAGGAGAGCTTGGAGGCGGCTTCGACGGCCTGGTTGGGGATGGAGACGTCGCCGAGGCGGACGACGTCGGTGTAGACCTGGCCCGAGGCGGACGAACCGTCCCCGTACGAGATCTGCCAGGTCGACCCCGAGACCTTCTTCGACGTCGACGACTTGGTCGGGTCGTAGATGGTGTGGCCGGACGTGGAGGCGCCGTGGAAGAGGGTGGACCAGACCCAGAGGTCGGACGAGCCCGTGTCAAAGTCGAGCTTGAGGGTGACGCCGGGGGTGCCGATGGTGACGGGGACGACGTACTCGAGGTCGTTCTGGACGTCGTCGGCGGGCACCTCGGCGTCGCCGCTGGACGTGCCCGTGGTGGGGTCGCCCGTGCCGGTGGAGGGCGCGGTGGAGCCGTCGCCCGAGGTGGGGTGGTGGTGATGCGAGTGGCGCTTCTTGCGAAGGACGGTGTCTTGGACGTAGAAGGAGGTCAGACGGGTGGGCTTGATGTGCCACTTGCGGACGGAGCGGGCGTACTGGGGGAGAAAGGGTCAGCGGGAGGGGCGGGGCGAGGGGGGGAGGGGAGGTACGTACGTCCATGGGCCCGTTCGGCGCCCAGCGGGGGTTGCGGGTGAGCCCGAGGGTAAGACGGCCGGCAGACATGGTGTCGTGACAGTAGATACTGGTCGTTACTGGCTAAAAGAAGGAGTTCAAGGACGGTGTAAGGGAAAGGAGACGCGGTGAGGAAGAGAGAGGAGACACACCCCCGCGTGCTTATATTCGCAAGGGGGGCACTGCACATCCAACTGAGAAGGAGGGAGAAGGGCGCGACGTCATCAGATGACGAGCGAGCGTGCACATATCGGGGTCGTTGGTCGTTGCTGTTCGCGCCGGGGGAGCACAACCCCCGAGGGTTCGGCCCCGGTGTCGTCCCCCCCTTCTCATCCCTTCTCGCGCAGAGTCACGCCGGTCTAGAACGCAATATGTCTTGTCAGCCTCTCGTAGGCTACATATGTCTCGCACGAAGCGATCTGCGCAACCCGCAGAAGGCGAGTGGCAAGCGCAATCACATCCTCTTCGGGTGTGCTCGCTCCCAGTCGCTGTTCGCGATAACGCTCTCTCCGGGGCATCACAAGAACCACCCCGCCGCTGACGCGAGAGACATGACTGGCACACGTACCGTTACCGTCACGACGCTATGTATACCACCACTGGCACCATCGCGACGGCAATGGGAGCCCCAACGTCGTCCTTCTTGCTTTCTCCGCTCAGCGTGTTTCCGGCCGCCTGTCGCGTGAACGGCCAAGGGTAGATAGACCCATAAGAAGACGGATATGGCTCCAAGGATGAACGCATCACCGCGAAGGCGGGGTGTAGCACGCGTTCGCGTGGGCACGGAAACAGCTGGCAGGGCAGGAGGCGTCAGAGATAAGATCCCGCCGCGCTAAGAATAGTCCCAGCGGGTCCGCTTTTAGTGAGCTCGGCAACGCCCGGCCGCCTTTCTCTTCCCCGGCGATACGCTTTTCGTCCGCACTGCCAGTCATCGCAGCCGTTTCCGCAGCAAGAGTGCGACGTCGTGCGCCGGTCCATGTCATCGCTGGCTGTACAATCCGCACAACGCCGCGCAGTCGACGGAGAGTTATGTTCCCGGAGAAGCCCATCCCAGTCTTCTCGAGACAAGAGGCCTAATCCGTATAGCGTCCCACTCACGCGCTCTCGCCGTGCTTTTCGACCGAGAATGACCTCGCGAGTCCAGACAGAAATTGCCGCTCTGTTCCTCCAGCGGACCACATATACAATCTGCCTGAATCCAATACCGCTCGCTTCTCTCCTTTCTCCGGGTACATGGGACTCGCCTCCACCTCCACCGCGTTTTCTCGCCTCTCGTGTCAACAGCGCGGGGAAATCGAACGACATCATCACTGCCCACACTCGTGGACGATGTTTCCTCCTCTATGCTTCACATAACGAATGTGCAACGTGCGGAGGCTCGCGCTAGTGTGCCATGATGTTCAGGATGCACACGGATATCCAACGTACCTTTCAACAATCACCCCCATTCTCTTCGTTTTCCCAGGTCCACCTCCGCCCTAATGCATCACCGGTCCAAGCGTCTGTATCCTCTACGTCAAGTCGAGCGCAAATAGTGAAACCCATATTTTCAGACGATGGGAAGGGGCGTCTTTACCATTCGACGCTGAGCCCTCTCCAGGCAGGATCACTAACCCTAACGTATCCGCCCCGTTAGCGGCATGTCCTTTGTGTTCCATCCCCTGCGTACGCGACATGATGGACTCCCGCAGCAATCCATATATCGATTCCGTGCCAAAGACAAGCACGCTACGCACCCCTTCGCATATGGTACCGAAAACACGACGCCTGCGTATCGCTTGGTCGCCACTCCACGCGACCTTCCGCTGCTCTGCCCTCACGATCCTCAACCCTTTAGACGAATATCTTAGATCGCCATCCGGTAACGTCGCCATGTCATCGCGTCCTTGATCTCGAACGCTCTCGTTCGTAGCTCATTTTCATCGCGTTCTTTCTGTCATAATTGGCTAGGAGGAGGCAAAGCGTGGCACAAGACGGGGGCTTGTTGAGACGCCGGACGAAGTGAGTACGACGTACCCCGTGCGACGGGCTGGCCATATTCGGCCCAGCCATTCTCCGTGCGCCGCGTCGCGTACGGTGGGTTTTTGGATAAAAAGTCCGGATCGCGCGCGCGGGGAGGATCGGCGCGCCAGGCCACAGAGTAGACGATATCATAGTAGAGCGGCCGGAGTCGCTTCCGATGTCGGACAGGCACACCCACACGAGCGCCTTCGCCCTTTGCGGCCCACGGATCCAGCCCCGTCGCTCTCTCTATTAGCTCAGGTGGTCGGGAACGCCCCGGGGCCGTGAACCGGCGGGCGCGCATTGTATTCCATCGCATTCATCATCCGTTGCACCGTCCCCGCCTCTTCCGCGCGTCTCCGGCCATTCCGACTCCTCATCCGCCGTCTCCTAAAAAAGACATACGCCATACTGACCAGCGTAACGTTTAATCCTTTCTCCGGTGTATCAGGACGCTACGTTTTTTCAGTATATTTGGCAGCGCTGGAGTGCACACACGCTTCGCCCTTGGACAGCCGGCCTTCATCCTCGTTTTAGCTTGGTCGACCAAGCTGGGCCTCTCATCTCAACACTCCCGATTTTCCTCCTTCCTCTCCCCCTTTACAGACGGGACGTCAACGCCGAGTTGGCATCCGTCGACGACGGCACCCTTACAGCATCTTGCCCGTAAGCGTGTACCTATGCATGTTTGTACAGATAACTGATATCATGCGCGACGGTAATTCTCCGTCGCTGTGCACTACGAACACGGCCGAGTTTGGAGCGAGTGGTGTAGGTAAGTCTGAAGTCACGCGATTGAGTCCATATTTTTTTTTCCGTCGCAATCACGAAAAGCAGGATGTTTCACCGTGGTTGGATCGGTTTTCAGGGAGTGTTATGTGTTCCTTAACGCATTGCTTCATTTACGCTGGCAGATGCTGAGACGAACATGTCACTGCGTATAAGTATTCAACGATTGTCCTTCCCGCGGTCCGCCCTAGCTTCCGAACCTGCCCGAACGAGCGTTCGCTCACTGCCTCTTATTCTTGGTTATAATGCCGTTCTGATCGAATCTGTAGCTGGGAACATCATACTTGTGAGTTTCTGGCTTGAGTCTTGGAAAAACCGGATGTGATCTATACTCATATTGGCGAAAGGCATGCAGCTGCCTGCTTGGCTAAGTGGCTACGGCGTCGCACTTGTAATGCGAAGATCACTCGTTCAAATCGGGTAGTAGGCATTCATTTTTCCCCTTTTTCTTCCGTGTTCCTTGAAGCAAGTCGAGCTCGCTGTTTTTGCTCCTCGGGGCTCGTGAAGGACCTTACTGGTATACATAAATCCGCAGTGACGAATGACTACTTATACCAGCAAAACATGCAAGAGACAACCAGGCTATAACCACCGTCACGAATGAGAAGGCATAGATCCATGTCACTGGTATATATTCATCCAAGCCAGGTCGAAGTACGCGTTCTGATAGTAAAGCGGGTTGTTGTTCACATAATCTACAAATAGCCGTTAAAGAGTGGACGGTGAAGTATCAAAACGACGTTACGCACCGACACATGTGTCAGGACAGCCTTGAGATTGATACACAGCACCAGCCCAGTCGCCACCTGAGAAAGGATTCGCGTAAGCGTCGCAAGCATGCGCTTTCAAACCATCTCCTGCTCACAGAAGGTTAGGTTGATGACGATTTGATTGGGTCCAAATTTTGAGGAAATGTCGCAGTCGGTGTCCGAGAAAAGCGCGAAGGGAGCTCCCTGGGGATGATAAATTTACGAGTCATAGCGAGTTGTCCGTCATGACGTACCCATGTACTGGTATCGATGGATGTAGCACCGCTCGAGACTTGACTCGGCACGGAGCCGTCCGTGCGAGACCAGAACCACACTTTGATGGACGTCGAGGTCCGCTCCATGGCGAACCTGTGCGAGAGGTCTCAGTAGGGAACTACGACGCCTCAGACATGCCAGAGGAGCTTACCATCCACCACCGTTACCATTTAGGGTGGGCCCATAACTACGGATGTCCGGAGATTGGACGCCACACCCTGAGCTGCCCTCGCAGTCCGTGCCGACGATCGCCCTTTAATATGACGTTATACATCACGATTATCCATGATCGAAAGTGCACCGTACCCCGTATGGCCGCTTTGGGTGGAAGGCATCGTACATCCTACCACATCAAGATGAAGAATCAGCGTATTCTCTAGGGACCATCGAACGTACCGGCACTGGTGTGAAGAGTAGCTTGATCCGGACCGACGTCATTCACACCTTCGAGGATGTCGACTTCACCCTATTCGCGGTTCAGTACGTCGGTCAACATCCTTGTTTAAACGGTTCTACTCACCTCGTTGGGCCAGTTCGGTCCGACTTCCCAGATCGCGGGCCAAGTTCCGCAACCTTGGGGCATATGCCGGAGGTCGAAACTACGATTGGCGGGAATTAAAAGACGCAGGTAAGGGCCCACGAGACTAGACGTACACGGCGACGTGAGTTGTGTAGGCATTGTTCGACAGGAGCCGAACGGAGTTGCGACCAGGTCCACTTGCACTGAGGACGGTCTTATCGTCGGCCCGGAGGATGAAGGTGTCAGAGGACGCGAAGGTGAGATTCTGGGCCCGTGCAGTAGTCTCATCAACGTAGTTGCTGTGATGAACCGGAGTAGATCAGCGATGATCTCTTGAGATATTCAGCATACTCACACACGACCGTTTGTGGGATCCGGGATAGCCTGGAAAGAGAAAAAGTCGTAGAAGCCGTTGCCTGCAACATTGCTTGTCCTGCTGTACGTCGCGGCCAGAGCGGGTCGGGCCGCACAGAGCGTCAAGATGGGGAGGACGTATCGCATCATTCAGCGAGTTCGAGCGCGTGGTAGCGAAGCCGATGTATCGTCAGCCCAGCGACAAGACAATCTTTATACGTCCATCAGGCTCGACTATACGTTCGCAGCGCTTCTGACGAAGTTCTTCAGCACATCGTCACTGGCTTGACAGAGCATGAGACGTTCTACTCACCTGATCCTCGACATGGACAAGAATAGGCGGGCAGATACCGAGCAAGACGAGTATGGCCTCGCAAACTTGGACACGAGTGCGCCCGTTTACCAGTGTAAACAACGGCGACCGGCAATTCCAGCATGCTCCGAAGCCAAGAATGATGACCTCCTTTAGATGAATATGCGTGTGATTGAGTCCCTCGTGGAAAGCAGCAGGCCACGTACGCCGCAACGGTGTTCGAAGACATCTGTCCGGCATTGCTCATGATTCAGTGCACCGGCACGTGAGTCGTTCCTCCCGATTGCAGCGCAGATCGTTCTCCGGAACGGCCCATGAACGTGCTGCTCCGCTGAAGATGCTGAAGATGCGACGGATATGGAACAGACTGGTAACAGGAAGCGGAAGGACGCGATCCGTATGGCCGGAGGCAACTGTAAGCCTAAATTCACATGACGTCTGGACTCCCTCGAAGCCCGTTCCGAGTAATCTCAGAATAGATTCCTCCGTGTTGTAGCACCACCGCGTGTCCGAGTTCTCGAGGGCAAACGCGGATCGGAGCCGGATGGAATAGTGTTGAGCCGCGGTCTTCACCGTCAACAGATGGAACAGCGCTGTGAGTTGCATCAACGGACGATACAAGACAGAGAAGGGCTGTATCGGCGTACCGTTCTACCAGCAACGACGAGCATGCCTCCATTCAATTGCGTATTCCAGCTTCATCTCCGAAAGCCGAGCGCGCACACGAAGTTTCTTTCAAGCCAACAGATATCCTTTCGCCGGGCAGAATGTGGTTCATATGATGAATTGAGAACTTTGGGCTCCTGAGCAGCACCGCTGGTGTTAGAACTCAACATCGTTTATATGAACGAAGCAAGGTAACTCGGTGCGCGAACAGCCTGAACTCGGAACTCGCCTTTCTTCACATTCACGTGACGCCTGCCTCCTTCGTCCCTTCCTTCGGGGATCCCAACGTTGACTTCAATCAAACCGTCTGACAGACAACTCGTACAATGCATGACAGCGACTACATTGCACAACTTCATATGTATACATCCGGATTTCATCGGTACGTGGAGCCATTCGTTCTGCTCTTGATGTGAAATATCGACACCTTATGCAGCAGTACCGCCGGACTTCCTTCTACAACTCTCGAGGTGAATCTTTCGCGATGATTTCTGTTCCGAGAGTATGCACTCACATCTGGTACCAGCTCGCGATGAACGGAATGGAGAATCCTGTTCCTACGAACACGACGTACTTGACTGCGAACGCCTTTCTGCGATTGTGATAGGTGAAGGGAAAGGCCTTGGGACCGCTATCAACCTGAGCTCGGGCTCAGAGCCTTGTCCGAACTCACGTCGTACATGGACCGCTCGTCGTGTGCCAAGCGGCGCTGCATGGAGACCCGGCCGTTGCGAGCCAATCTGACAGAAGAGAACCCGACGCGGTGGAGGAACGGCATCGTAAGCAGTAGGCCGACCGGGGAAAGGTTACTCGTTCAAGTGGTCGAATGAGGAGTGGTGAGGGCAAGGGAGCGTCGCCTGATCACTACGGGACTAAGTATGGGGTCATTAGCAACCCTGCGAAGCTCGTCGTTCCCAGCATTTGAGTTTGGCCCCTTCCACGACCTGTCCTGTGACCACGGCGGGAGCCCCGAAGTCAATCCCTGATTTGTTCGAGATCATAAAGTGTACCACATGAGGTGCTAGACAAATAACACGTCTTCGATACGTATTCCAACCGCAGCTGCGCAATGATATCGACAACGGCCACTACAACTGGTTTTCTAAGTTATGGAGACGGGCATTTCTAGAGCTCTTTTATATGAGATGGTACTCTCGCAAAACGAGCCGGTCGAAGAGACTATAAGCTCGTGCTGTCCGCCATCAATCATCATTAAACACAACCACGGACCTCGCATGATTCATGACGGTATCCATAAGTGATCTGCGGCCACAGAATACGGAGGTCGAGGTGCATCATTTTGATTGCTCATCGCGTCTGGTCTATATAGTACAATGCTCATGGTACAATATTGTTCGCGATCTGTGTTCTGAGAGGGAGAAATGCCCGAGGCGTTAGGTGGGCAAGTGAGAGGGATAGACTGGGCTGCGGGCTATGCCGAAGATCCTGCCCAATTGTGCCTAAAAGGGCCGTAAACATCGAGAACGGGTGACAGACTCTGGAAGCGTCGTAAATTACGACGTACAGTTGATAGCCAACGGCCACGAACGGCAGAGCGAAGCCCGTTCCGAGGTATGCGACATATTTGATCCTGAACGCCTTCTTGTTACGGTAGCCAAAAGGGACGGCCTAGATCCGCAGACGTTCATAGCAATGGTGAGATAATATCCACGCAATACAGAACGAATAGCCGCAGGTAAGAAGACATACGTCGTAATATGTGTGGGTGCCGTGGGCCAGACGACGAGGCTGAGACCGAATGATACCGGTGGGCCGAGCGCGGAGGACGGACGAAGCAAGCCGTTGGTTTGCGAGCATAGTGCGTGCGGAAAAGTCAAAACAGGCTCGACGGATGTCTTCTGGGTGGTAGTTTCAATATCCAAGAAGCCGCGCTCAGAATATAAAGGGCTCTTCGCAATGTGCGTAGCCCCTAGATCGGGGACCCTCGGGAGGCAATATCAGACCATACAGCGTAGCCCATAGCTGAGTCATTCCAGAGCGGGTCTAAAGTAGTCTCCCCAGACAGCCTCTAGAGTGAGAAGACAATCGTTCTCACAATAGAGTCTGCAACTCGACGCGCCCCTCCGAGTAAGCTGGCGCATTTGTGATGACGCTGACGTGATGCACCGATCTTAAGGTCTTTTTGCCGCCGGATTAGGCAGGTGTCGCGGCTGTGTGCCCCTGTGACGTAGCCTTCTGCGCACCCCGCGCAAGTGCATACGTCGCCTTTTGCATCTCCCCACCATCGCTTTGCGTACCTCGCATGAAGTTACGACGAAATGCGACGATATAACAGCTGCAACTTCTGGTATTGTGCATATGGACACCCTCTCGCATCGATCCAGCCTATTCACGCCCGGGCGCGACTACTCAGGTCATCCATACATGCGTCATTATATCCGTCTTGCCCTACGGCTACTTGTTCCGCACCCAAATAGTCGCTTCCCGCCTTAGTATCCGACGATCGACTTGTCTTGTACAATATTAGTATGGGCAATCAATATGGATGATGCTCGATTCACGACATGGACGATGCGGGACATAGTACGCCTGCTGAAACCACCGATGAAGCCTCACCGTTCTTTGACCCTCAGCTTGCCGCAACTCCGTATGCATGGAATACTCCATCTCAGGATGTATTGAACACTCCATTTCATCAGCCCAGTACCGGTTCATCTCACCGCCTCCAACAGGGTCCGGAATCCGAACTCGATTCGGTCTTCAGCGTGCCTGTAGATCACAGCTTCAGTTTTGCAACTGCAACGCCGCGGCGCTTACTCTCCCAGACATTTGAAAACCGACACCACCCTGAAGAATTTCCCGACCGCCTTACGTCTACACCCTTACGTCCAACCCAATCAACCCCGGCCATTTTCAGCACACGCGCATACAATCGTCGGCCCACAAATATGGAGAGGTTAGAGCAAGTTCTGGACCTTCTACGAAAACTCGACTGGACGGCAGGAGACTTCATGTACTACTTTGTCCGCAACAAGGCCAAGGGAGATCCCGATCGCAGTCTGCGGCATGGGAGGATGCGCTCAAACTTCCTCTCCGGTTCTGGCAGCAAATCCCGCCATTTCTCTGATATCCTTGAGGCTATCTGGACGGCCGACGATGGTCTTCCTCCACCTGAAGACAAGGAACGGTCGTTGAGCTTCTCATACACTGCCGAATTCTCCGACATCGGTTACGCCCGACCAGCCCTCTCGACGTTTGCTGTACGGATTGTCCGGGAGGAACTCAAGAGAGAACGCAACTCTGCAGTCAAGACATCGAGCGGGCTTCACACATTGGTAAAATCTGGACACGGTGCTACAGAGACCACTTGGGAGCATCTCACCGCCAGTACTATCGCCGGTGCATCGCGGATACTTCGTGCCCATCAGCCCCTCACCTGGAATTTCATCGAGGACCTATCGACACCCAAGTCTCGTGGTTCTAACGTTATCGTACAGTATCGGTATCGGCCTCCCGCAATAGTACGTCGAGCTTCACATCCCGCTCAGGATTGTTATAACACCATGCTGCAGGCTACAGCGCATGTCTTGAGCTTCATCAATTTCACTCACAACTCTCACGCGAAGCTCCTTCCCCTTCTGCTTGGGATCTTCTTCTTCTCATGCCGGGCAAACCGCGAGCTATTTGCACTTGGAAGCCGTGTTGGACTGATCACAAGCTACACTGGCACCATTCTCGCACTCCGACGGATGGCCGCCTACGCTGCCAAACATATCAAGGAGCTTGGTACCAGTCCCGTCTCGGCTCTTGCGCTTCTCATTGACAACACCCAAAGCTACGCCCGCGCACGCTCTATGAGGATGGGCACCACCGACAGGATGATTGTTGGAACAGCAGCAACTGCGTATGAGCTCGAAGATTGTGATTTGCAGGCCCTAGATCTCGACGACAAGCTTGCACGCATAGCCGAGAATAAACGGAAGGACTTCACTGTGGAGAAGCTTGTGCGGATGACCGACATGGACTTGATTCAGAAGGCATGCTCGATGCAGTGGCTCCAGATTCTCATCCGCTATATTCCGGAGCTTTCTTCCCGGTACAAGGACGAGGCTGCTCAGGAATACGACAAGATCGTGGCTCCACATCGTCCGAGAAAAATACGCAAAACCAAAACACATCCTCTCGCTCCTAATGGCCGCAACGAATCGGTCACTTCTGAATTACTTCTTGGTCTCAAGCACTTCCTCTCTCAACTTGGTCATACCGAAGACGACCAGCTAAGACGCCTGATTCCTGTCGGCGGAGACGGCCTAACCTACGAGAGACTGGTGCAGCTGAAGAAGTACATGCAGCTTCATCCTGAAGCGGCTCAACGGATGGATCACATCGAACCATTCCTCCAACTATGGCACACTGCGTGGACGGATGTTAGCCGTATCTTTGAGTCTCACTGGGATAGTGATCTCTCAGACGACCCTTCTTCCCTTGGTCACAGTGCCACCAAGATTGGGCGCAAGGCGCCTTCAAACCTGAAAAAGGTTGACTACTATCCCGCAATCGATACCGCATACTTGGTATTAGATGTTCGCGTCCTAGATTGCTGGAGGTATGTGACTCTATAACCGCTTTTCCGCACGTTTACACAGTCTTCTCAGGCTTCACTTTGGTACCGAGGATCTGTTCTTGTACTTTACCAAATTAGAAGAACAAGACAAGATCCCCTCATTTGAGTCCCTGCTCTCTGCGGCATCGACATTATGGGGGCGCTATGCGTCTCCTCGATCTTTCATCAAAGTATTCCGTGGAGGAAGCAACGAAACTAGTCACGGAAACATCCCTCACGGATCCCCGTGGCAGTCCCCACAGATGCCTACAGCCGATCACATCTCTGAACCTCGTGGAGAGTCTAGCAAGCCAAAGCGGCAGGCGAAGAAGAAGGAGTGGGAGGCTGATGCGGACCGTCCACATCCGCAAGGTGATACAGCATGTGGAAGGTCTATGCGGTTTCTCTGGGATGCATCTATATCACGCGAAATGGCAATGGCAACTGCTGCTGGAGCGATTGGAATTGTGTACGAGTGCGTGAAGGTATGCGCACATATCACATCCCGTACACATGTATACTGATACCCATGCCTTAGCTTCTACTATTGAGCTTTGCCGGCTCGACACATACAAAATACGCGGTATATCTCCTTGAAATGATCTGCAACCATGAGGACGAGAGCAGTACGGCACTCCAACAGTTGATGCTCAACAACTGGCTGGTCAATCCAAGCGGAGAATCGGGCCGTTGGATGGAAGGTGATCTCTACCAGGAGCACCTGAATGGTCTCCTCGAGCAGCATAATTCGAAGAATCATGACTTTGACTCCAAACACATGCAGGAAACGGTTGGGCGCAACATCGCACATTTCTATGACTTACAGCGTGAAATGCGGGAAGGTGCACAGCTCAAGCCACGAGGATGGAAACACACCAATCCCCACACACGCCCAGAGGTCCGGACCCTACTTGACATCTACAAGACAACGGAACTGCACACGTTCAGACCGGGAAGGTCATACGAACGTCATGGCCGAGAGGTGAACGATCTGGAGCGCGGAATGAGGATGCTTCGTGAAACCAAGATACCCGCTTGGATTCATGATACATTCCGAGGACGAGACATTGCAGAGGGAAAGCTTACCTTTTCAGTGGAGCCATCCCAACGTCAAGATATCGTGGACGATTTGGAAGCACTGGAAGATGAGTACATACCACAGACAGCAGGACGGCTCATTGTACGTGATGGTGAGTTGTTTGTTGAGATTGATGATAGTGGATTGGAAGAGGAGGTTGTCGAAGAGATAGATGGAGAAGTAGATACGTAGCATTACTACTTGTTCTCTTTATCCTATGAAATGTTGTGAGTATCACATGCGCATCAGAAGATGTCATCTGGCATACCTTACGAAGTCTTTTGCCCGAACCAACTTGGTGTTTTGGAGTGACCTTGCGCTTCCGTATGCCACCGGTATGCACATTTATAGTGTCCATACTGTGTGTGTTATCAGAAACGTGCCGTTGCCCCGAAGTAAATGATTAAGAAATACAGGGAGAGTTCAACCGGGGTATTCAATGAACGTATCTCTTCTTCAATCTTCTTGACTTGCGCTTGCATTTGCGCCACAACATGGGCTTCTTCGACAAGATCAGAGAGCGCCTCCAGGTTCCGAATGGTTGGCATCACCAGCTGAGGCTGTATATCATGACTGGCCAAGATCGCGAGTGCTTGCGTAGCACGGGTAGAGTGACTGTGATAAACACTCGTTGATGAACGTAGACAGACATCGGGTCTGCCTTTCCGCAGGGCCTGGCTACGTTCTATGCAATGCAACTGGTCTGTACAATGCATTGAGCCTGCATAGTAGCCCGTGAATATTGGGAGGTTTCTTACCGAATGCCTCTGACTCTTCTTCCGCTTCGCTTCCTGACTCATTTGAATCATCTCCGCCAAAGTTGGTATTGCTCGTGTCAAAATAGGCTCGAAGTCCACTGATAGTGGCCCATAGCGTGAGCCGATATGATGGACGCAAATAATTGCAGTCCGTCAGATAGCCATCCAGCGATGCCTCTGTGGTTAACAGTGCAAAACGAGAAATGAGTAGGTCAATCTTCTCATCTGGTAGATACTCCTCTGGTGGTATGAGATGCGGGTTAGCGGCTTCATCTCGCTCCCACACATCCCAGCGGAACTCGCGCAATTTCTTAAAGGCCTCCTCTCTATGCGGTTTTGAAAGTCGGTCCTTCGTCGGCACTGGGTTCCGCACACGTTGGTGTTTTTTTACTGGAACGACCGGGAGATCAACCTCAGGAGTGCACCCGCTGCATGCGCATATCGGCGGGGTTTGAGAAGATGGGGTCTGGCCTACGCAAGAGCCGCATAAACATGGTGCATCTTCTGAGGGGTTGTCGTAGATTGAGTTCTGCTCGGCAGTCTTGCAATCGGCGAGAAGAAGCCGTGCCATTGTGATGTCCAAAGGATCAGCCTGATGTGTATGGCTCTTACTCTTCAACGTGCGCCGGGTAGAAATCGGAGTGTCAACGAGATCACGAGCCTGCTTCATGGCCTTCTCGGAGTAGTAAACAATGATGCGACCATCGCCGAACAGACCCAAGCGGTCTGCGCGTCCACCACCTTGCATAAGGTCATCGGCATTTGATGGATTCCCCGCAAAGATCACATCGCGAATGCCCGGCAAACTGATGCCAACGAGCAGGCACGAAGTTGCCACGCAGATTACACCTTGATGCTCAGGGTTGCGGAGCAGGTCCCGGGTTTTCTTGTTGTATTCGGAATATCCCATCGAGTTATACATTCGAATCCGCTCGAGGTTTGCATTGCGAGACCCAGAAAGCTGGCGAAAGAGATACGCAACAAGGCGGAATTGGATGGCAATGGTCTGGACGAAAATCAATATGTTGCGCCCCTCCTCCACGACCCAATGCAGATCGGGAAACTCCCAGCCGCCAAGGCCATGCTTCAGAGGCCGGAACAGCAGGCGTAGCTCGCTCCGGGCGTTGGAACGATGTATGCGATGGTACTGTCCTGCCTTCAAGCCAGCGAAACGACAGATACGATCAAGAGGGTCGCCCTGAACCGCAGTTGCAGTAACGCAAATTTCGACCACCCGGGTAGGAAGACGGGCACGAACATGTCCGATCTGTTTGAACGCGATGCGAAATCCAGATCCCCATGTGTCCAGTAAGTGCACCTCGTCAATTCCAAGGCCGACAACGCGGTCCTTGAACTGCTTCGTCTGTAGCAATTTCTCGAAGCCCTTGGAGGTGAGCTGCTCCGGGCCGAGTAGCAGGAGGGATACGCCGTTAGAGCTGGCATTCCATAGGTCCTCCCCGCGCGATCTAGCATCTTGAAGAGTGTCCTGGTTGATGGCGAGCGCACGGAGACCGTAAGAGCGGAAGGTAGCTTCCTATTGACAGATCAATACCATTCACTGGTATAATAAGCCAAGAACGTACCTGCTCGACCTCTAATCCATTTGTGGGATATATGACAACCATGCATGGGTTCTGTGGAACCGGACGCTTGAGGACTTCCTGGAGAGACTGGTCCTCAAGGAATGCGTGCAGCAGCATGATGAACATGTAGAAATACGCTGATTTACCGGCCCCGGTCTTGATCGTGGCGAGCACATCAATACCATCCATCATCTTGCACAGTGCTTCGAGTTGGTAATCGTGAACATCGGTGTATGGAATGCGGGGCTTGAGCAGACGGCGGGCGAGTGCGCGGCCTGTGGGGTTGTCGAGACCAGCACAAGGAGCCAACATGTCGGGTTCCATCCACGCAATATCCTACCCTTGTGATATGTCGTGTTGTTCGCCGGACCAGCAACAGAAAAAAAGGGGGGAAACGCGTTGTATTGCACATACGATCGACGCTCACTGATATCGCGGTAGCTGCTCGTGTCAACAAAAGCGACGCGTCGCGCGTAAAATAGGATCACATGACACGGAAAGATCCGAAATGGGCCATCCTTACAAACCCTGCACATCGAGTTACAGACTAGGTCTAAAGCAGGCCAGGAATGAACCAGGCGTTGACAGCCCCAGATTCGAGACATCACTCGGAGGATGACGAAAGACTCGAAAGGAGCGCCTCGATCTTGGTTGCGAGAATCGAGACCGGTACGAATTTGGGCAGAGCCCCTGTTCCGCGGGGCTTGAAAGCTTGAACATTGCCGCATTCGGCACCCGCATGTCTTCCTCCTTTTTGACATCAATGCAGAAAGAGAAGATCGTTATTGCAATTCGTGGCTACATAACTTAGTAATCCAATGCGGGACACTCGTGATCGGGTCATACACAGCTAAAACTGGTAGAAACATTTACATTACCGCCGTTATACTGGATGCTTAAAGGGAACTACGAGGGGTGGAGGGGCTCAGGTTTGGAGAAGAGGATGGGATGATGCGACGGTGCTTACCTTGCACAGCGGCCGAGTGAATCCAACCCCGTTGTTGTGATCGTCGTCGACATACCAAGCTGCCGTCAGTTGCACGGGTGCCGTGCCGTTCTCTACCCATGCCACCAGAGCCTGGAGGATGTTATGCTCTGTATTGCTTGGCGATGAGCAGGGGCATCGATACATTCGCGCAACAGCGACATACCCGGGTCGTTGGCTAGCGGAGGCTGACCCGACGACGCCTGCATGGCACCTCCGAAAGCGTTGGCTCCGAATCCTTCCTATATCGTCATGTTAAGTGTCTTCATCCTACAAGGAAATCCTAAGATACCTTGCTGAAAAGCGAGACACGTAAGCATGGAACTGACCATTGCTTGCAAATGGAACAACAACGTACCAGTGCTTCATACCGGGGACGGTGAAAAGCCGATAGGAATCATCAATGTCGCCGAGCCCGTTGCCGTCCATGAACGATTGCACGGAGCTGTGATACAGTTTCGAGTTTCCGGGCGATATCAATTGATCGGCCAAGCCTATGAGACGAAGCTGAATGAGAGTACCCGCTGAGATGACGACCGCGACTTACCAACGTAATGCAGAATTTTGCCGTTATGTGGAGCGCTCACGAAGCTCGAAATATCGGTGTCGATGGCCTTGACCACAGAGAAACAATATGAAACGGCGTTCAGGCACTAAAAGCAGATCAGTTCACGTACGTTTGCGTTGCCCACGTCAAGCCTGTCGCCCAACTCGATAGCTGCCAGGTCGAGTTGCGTGTCCTGCCATAACGTGTTGCTGTTTGTGCGATCAAAACGCGCATCATCTGCGAAAGCGTGGAGATAACAAACTTGAATACGAAAAACCGTTCGTAAGCGAGCGCTAGCGAAGAGACATGGTCTCCAACGAGGGCATTCGGGTAGTCCAGTTCGCCGCCGAGGTAATACCCATTGAAGATGAATGTGTCGTTTGTCTCGATGTAGTCCGAGAATACTTGAGTGAATGTTTCGACTTGAGTACTCGTGAGACAGTCCGTAGCGTTCGTATCCTCCGCGGAGCAGGTGATAGACGAAGGGTCGAAGCTGTACAGTGTTCGTAAGCCTCAAATCCTCGGGTCCAGAAAAGGTCGAGCTGACGTACTTGCACTGCGTAGGATCGTTCAGAATCCCATCCTCGACCTGATCAAGAGGTCAATGCTAATATCGTGGCACGGCTGAACCCCGAACATACTCCATCTAGCCCATCGCACTGTCTCAACACCTCGTTGTGGATCAGGTTCTCCCACGTGTCTGCCGGTATCCACCGCGACGAGTTGACGGGCTGCACGAGGAGATTGACGTGAAGGCTCCACGGCTGGACATGGGTTAACCAGTTAGCTGGCGAGCCGACGACCTGTCGCAACCGGTGAGATCTCGTACGCCACCCGCAACGCCAAAGCCCGCCATATAGTTAGCCACTTACGACACCATCGAAGTCTCCCGGAAACATCTGAACTTCCTTCAAACTGCGTCATCGGTAGGTAATCCCGTCTCACATGGGAATCACGAGGATGAACAAGCTCACCCCTGTCGCCCGCCTGTCGAGGACGTTAAGTACGCCACTCGCCACAGCTCGTCTGACGGAAGAGTACGTACCTGTCGAACATCCAAGATAGTAGCTCTTGTTGGCCGCTTGCTGATAGAATTGCGTCACCACCTCCTTTCCAACTTCTACCGATATGTGCAGCGCTCTCCACGCCCAATCTATAATGGCATCCTGCATAATAGGTTTTCAGCACCGCAACACAAACACAAAATATAGGAGGTCGATTACGTCGTTATTCAGGGCCCATGAGGCGTCACCTGACGTCGAAGTATGCCCGGTATCGGTAGACACTCCGGCAACTTACACGGGGGAAAAGGTAAATATACGTGGACCGCAGAGTCAGCCGACTCTCAAGGCACTTACAGCCCTGGGATACGGCTATGAACCCTAGATCTTCGACGGTGACTGTAAGACGAGTTCGTCAGAAGGGGAACGGACGAGCGGGCATCATAGGAGATGGATCGTTACCTCCGCCCCCGAATCCTCCATTCCCAACGGCTAAAAACCGTCCATTCCAATCCTCGGGAAGCCAGACCTCCGCGTTCGCGGTCTTGTTCGTGGCTAGGTTCGTGACGATGGTCAGTTGTACGCCTGATGATGATGATGTAGAGGAATCCGTCAGGTTGGACACAGTACTCCAGGGGTTATGTTTCTGCGACGTACGGCAGAACGCGGGTAGATGGGTCGAGTCGATGGAAGAGAACAGGTTGGTGATGTTAACGCGATCTCCGGCATCGAAGAACTCGGTCACGATGGTGTCTGCGACACCCGGGCTGGTGAACCGGAATGCGGCGCACGCGTCGGACCCAGCACTGGTACTGGCAGCAGGCAACCGGGCGGCTACGGACGCTCCCGCAACGAATTGAAGGTGGACGTGGACCGCGACGAGTAGAGCCCGTACAGCGACACGCATGGCGTTGAGGTTGAGCATGAGCGAGATGACGATCGGTACGGGTATACCGGGGCCAGATAAAAACGGACGTCTATATCTGCTCTTAACCGGTCGCGATTAGAATAGACTGCGCAGCGTGTCTATAAACGCCAAGGGGGAGGTGGGACGCGTCTAGTCGAATATGGATAACACGGACGCATCCCGTACAAGCGGACGCCGTCCGATCCGTCCCACCAGGACCCGCTCTGCGCGCATTTGGTGTTCGTTGCGTAGCCAGTGCCAGGTACTCCCGCTCGGTGAGGACCCGCTGCCGAGTTACGCCGTGCTGAACGACCGCACCAAGACAGGATGTGTGCCTTGTAATTCTGAGTTCTGAAGAGTCAATGCACGTCACGAGTGCAGATCGCGTCCATGTCGGAGTGAGGACATCGATGGCTATTCTCGATAACCGTCCCTGGACGTATGAGACCCATGGACGAGCGGCCAAGCGGGGCGAACGCGGGCGGGGTGGCGGCTCCCACGATTCGAGCGATAATACTCCCGGAAGGCTATTTCGGAGTACGGTGCGGACACGTTCGGACAGTGGCCAAGACGGCGGCAGCCTGAGGATGAGAGCCCCGGGCATCTGTGGCTTGGCGGGTGATTATCACCGCGATTTGTCAGGTTCCGGGGAGGTATTGCGCGGGGAGGCCAGCACAAAGCGCCGGTCGCAAGAGCTGCGAAGAGTCCTCCGGACTCGCGTTATCAGGTACGGCAAGGAAATCTTGGTTATTCCGAGTTGCGCATCCATCGCGGTTGATAGCGACAGTAAACGGATATGAGATTGAGGCCTTGCGGCAGCACAGTCCAGGCGATGGAGGACGCAGAAGACAAGCTCGCGAGCGGCCTGATTCGCTCGGACTTCTCCGCGCCGCAGTCTACATAGCGATCCCGTGATGCACGTCTTGCCTTCTGTCTTGCCCTCTGCACTGGCAGTAGCTGAGGGTACATGGCTGTCGCATCACCACTCCCGCGGACGCTCGTGCACAGAGACGATGGAATGCACTCGTCAGAACGCCTGCAAATATGCAATAGGCCAGATCCGTCACCCTCCCATCCGAAGGCCTGCCCTCCTCCTGCCCCAACGCGGTGATTATGTGCTTCATCGAGGCCTATCGTACTACCATCTCGCTTGGAAGCACATCAGTCGCTCTCGTCAGTCATGGACTTCCGATAAAGGTCCTAGGGTCGACGTTCGCGCTCCCCTGTCGCGAACTGTCGGTCATCGCAGAATTGCTAAAACGTGCGCTGCGCACAAAGTACGCACGTTCAATGCTGGTTTATCCGACGTGCTCCATCGCATTCTTTCATCGACCGCAATAGCTCGGTTTGATTCGGGGCTCAGGTGCCGTGATGCGAATTCATTCGAAACCATCTTGTGCATTTCTGCTGCAGGTCGCAGTATCCGCTGCGAGCGGATCGCATGTAGATTATCTTGCGCTTGCATTTCACGGCGCGGTAACCGTTGCAGCTGGCTGTTACGCAGGACCGGCACCCTCGCGGCAGACATCTCCCGGCAATGGCGGTCCACGAGTACAACTATGTGGCTTATGGGATGGGGCGACGCAGGTATAACCGGTATAATTCGCGCGTAAGTACGTGTATTTGCGCAGGACCGCCAACGATGAAAACGAATCCAAGAGCACGGGAGGGTGTGACATCGGTGACACGGATACATATCGACGGGCTAAAAATAAGCGTGTCGGCTCGCAGCACCGCTTTGACGTGCGCCCCGCACTTCCGCCTTCGTCGGTTGCCCGCCCCGTCCTTCCGTGCCTCGTCGAAGACCACAGTGCCGGCATCGTGACCCTCCTCCTCCTTCCGCCAGGCCTCGCTGCGCCTCATATGACCTAACATGCCTTCGCTTGCGCCGGCTCAGAGCTTTGACTCCCTTGTTATCGTCTGCATTCTGATATTATCGCACCAACAATTACCGCCTTCCCGCTCTATCGGGCCCGGCGTCGGCGAATGACCTGCAGCCTGGCGCGCTTCTGGGCGCGATATCGTCATACCGATCGCGGCAACATCGCAACCCATGACGGCCTGCATACCGCATAACCCGCGCCCTCCGTCCGCCGCGTCGGGCGAGGGGGCGTATTACTATATAGCCCTCGCCGGCCCCGATACGATCGAGCGAACTCCGAACCCGGGGGCATCCTCACGTCAGGACCCGACGATGAAGAGCCTACTGCTGCTCGCCCTCGCATCGACGACGGCGCCGCTCGCACGAGCATGGGGCGCGGAGCGATGCGCCTCCTTTACCCTCAAAGAATCCGGGGTCGCGCCCGTCTCCGCGTTCTCCGCCCAGTTCTACGACGCGGGCGACTTTGTGAACGTCACGAACCCGTTCTCGTCTATCAATACCACGTCGTTGCCGGCGTTTTGTCGTACGGGAGGAGCTTTTCTATGATGACATGGGAGAGATACCGACGTTTTTTTTTCCGTGCCCCTTATATAGGGATACAAGTGGCGATCGTGTCGAACCAGACGGCGGGGAGCGTCGTGAACACGGAGGTGTGGCTGCCTGAAGCGTGGACAGGCCGGTTCTTGACGGTGGGGAACGGAGGGTACGCCGGAGGAGGCGAGTCGTGTTTCACTTGGCAAACGAACGTCGAGACTGACCGGTTGGTTTGCCAACAGCTACCGTGGAAGACCTAGGATACGTCGGAGTCGCCCAAGGATGTACGGACCTCAGCTCGCTTCCGAAGGCGAGGGCGCTAAAAGTTGACTGTTTTATGAGTGCAGTTGCGGGAGTGTCGACGGACACGGGCCACGTCTCCACTGCGGGAGGAGCGAACTGGACTCTCGGCGACGTTGTACGTCGACCTCGCACGAAATCCCGCTCATGCTCACCATTTGACACCCTTTCTGCAGAACGCGATAACAGATTGGTCGTGGCGCGCGATCCGGCTGTCCGTTCTTATCGGAAAAGAGACAGTCGAACAGTATTACAACCAAAAGATCACCAAGAGTTACTATCTGGGATGCTCGACAGGTAAAGGTCTTTTTGCCGATTATCGAGTTGCTTGCACAGGAACTCATTCATTATACTAGGCGGTCGTCAGGGGTAAGCCATACCGCTTCACGTCAACCTCGAAGCATACCGACCAATCCCCTCGTCCTCTTCACCAGACTCATCGAAGTGCAACGATTCCCGACCGACTTTGACGGCGTTGTACGTCTTTCTACCCCTCTCCTCCGCCGCCGCGCGCCCCAGAAGCTGAGCGTGACGACGATCTCTCTATGCTAGCTGATCGGCTCTCCATCCAACTGGATGACGCATCTCCAACCCTGGGGACTGCACGTCGGCAACCTCGTCCAACCCGTGAACTCCTCCCGGTGGATCCCGGCCGAAACGTGGGCAGGGCTGATCCACAACGAGGTCTTGAGGCAATGCGACGGGCTCGACGGGGTGAGGAGCACGCTCTCGCTACCCTTTCACCCCTTCCCCCTGAGTACACGACACTGATCCCGATAACGCAGGTGAACGACGGGATCTTGAACGATCCGACGGCGTGCCAGTTGCGTCCCTTTCAATGTCATCCCTTACCGGTTCCTTCGTCTAACGAACCATCGTCCGTCCTTTGCCAGCTTCGACCCTTCGCCGATCACATGTGCCGGAGGCACCCTCCCGGATCCGACGAACCCCATCTGCCTCAGCGCGGACCAAGCCGACGCGGTGACCAAGGTGCTCTCGGACTATTACGCCGAGGACGGCTCGTTCGTGTTCAACGGGTACTACCCCGGCGGCGAGGTCGGCTACCCGACCGGGTACGTCGCAAACGTGTCGAACGTGTACGCGATCGACTACGAGCGCTATTTCGTGATGAAGTGCGTTTTTTTTCCCTTTATTCACTACTCGTTTTTCTCTCTCCCCCTCTCTCTCTCCAAAAAGGGGGGTCACTGATGGGATGATGAAAAAAAAAACAGTGATTCGATGTGGAACGCGACGAGTCTCAACGTGGACGTGATTAGGCTCGGGGACGAGCTCGACGTGGGACGAACGAACGTGAGCCTCCACTTTCTCATCCCTTCCTCTCCTCGAACGCCCCGGCTGATCCGGGCCACTGCACAGGCCATCGATCCCGACATCCGCCCGTTCGTGAACGCGCCGCACAACGGCAAGATATTGCACTACGTCGGTCCGTGAAACACCTGCTTGCGAGCTCTATTGCCGCATATATATGATCGTGGTTGATCACGCTCGTACCCATAGGTCTCGCCGACCAGCTGATCTCGCCCGGAAACTCCAAGCTGTACCACCAGAACGTGGCCGGTTTCATGGCCCAGCACGGACGCCTGGACGTCGACGACTTTTATAGGCTGTTCACCGTTCCGGGCATGCAGCACTGGTACGTCGTAGTCCGCATCCCCACGAAAATCTCCAAGCTAACGTCTTGTGTGTCGGTGGGATGCAGCAGAGTACGGGCATTTCTCTCTGTCGTGGAGACATCTGTGACACCAATCGATAGCTGACGCACAAACCCCTCCTTCTGTTGACATTTTTTGTTCTTTTCCGCTTCTTGCCCCCGTGTTTTTTTTTTCCTTGGACGCGCACGATAGGGCGGATTCGGCGCGAACGCGTTCGGGGCGAGTCGACAGGCGTCTCTCGGGATGACGCCGCTTTCGCATAGCCCCGGTACGTACCACCCAACTCCTCCCGGCTCCTCCCGCTTAGGCATGTTCTAACCGAGAAACCCGAATCCCTCGCCTGGGGTGTTCCAGAAAACGATATCGTACAAGCCCTCGTCGCGTGGGTCGAGCACGGGCGCGCGCCGACGCAGCTGATCGCGGCGTCGTGGGTGAACAACTCGGACGCGAACGGGTTGGCGTTCACACGGCCGATATGCAAGGTAGAAGACGTTCGCGAGGATTGCCGGAAGCTCGAGCCGAATCGCTGACGCCGTTGTTCTGTCTCGTAACAGTTCCCGCTGCAGGTAAAGTACAAGGGAGGAAATCCGAACGTGGCGAGCAGCTTCTTCTGCGGATGACGAATGACGGATGACGCTGCGAAGACGAAATCAAATTGTATACGTGATGTAGCATTATGCAACGTGAAAGCACAAATCAAGCACATCAAAACGACAACGCGAATCAGCGCACTCAGAGCGGTTCATGTGTGCCACGTCAGACCCAGGATTGAGAGTATAATGCAGCACGACTACAGGATTTTCTTCGCCTTGAAGTCCACCTCGGGCTCCTTCACACCGAGCTCGACCTGGAGCACGGTCGCGTTGAACGCGGCCAACGTCAGACCGAACGGTTTCCTGTCTCACGGGCATCAGCGGCGCCACCCACGTCGATCGGGGAAAACGCACCTGTAGGTAGACTCGTACCCGTCGGGCAACCTCTCCTCGTGCAGCACGGTCTTCAACGTCTCCACGTCGCCGCCGAACAGGAGGAGCATCGTCGCGGAGTTACTGCTGCCGAAGATCTGCGGCGCAGGTCAGTTTCGCGCGCGTCTAATCTCGGAGAGAGGCGCGGGGTGCGCACGGGATGTGGGCCATATACATACCTTATGGAAGGTGCTGAGGGTGTGCTGCCCGTTCTGGACGCGGGAGTCTGCGCGACGCTTGGACATGAACGCGGCGATGTCGGCCGCGGTGAGCGAGGTCCGGCCTTCGCGGGTTGGGTATGCGAGCATCTCGGTGATCAGATCGTGCGCTGGCTTGGACTGGTCGGGTTGGAGGAAGGTGTCATGGCCTGAATATACAGTCAGATTGAATGGTTGAAGCGCGTATGAGAGACATACGACAGAGCGAAGCGTCGTGCTCGATACCGTTGTGGACGCTGATGTCGGACAGGTCGAGCGTGTCCTTCCGGTAGGACCGGCGAAGGAGCTGCGCCATGTAAGACGGCACGAAGTAGCAGAACGACGGCGCGAAGCTGTTCGAAAGAGACAGTCAGGCACGCACATCCCTTCTCCATTCATCTCAGCATGAACGAGGGAAAGGGAGGGGGACAAACTTGTATGTCTTCCTGATTTGTTGGCCCATATACGCAAACGGTATGTTCTTCCCATCCCTGGGGAGTATTCCTGCTCTCGTGCTCACATCAGTACTGGGGAAACAGAGTGTTCGGCTACGTTGACGAACCGTGGTTGGCCATCGCGTTGAGCATGGGGCACGCGCTGCGGCTGTCGCCTTCACCGGGGGGTATATACTCGGGCCATTTGCCGCCATGTCCTAGCGCCCCGGCCGGGTACAATTTGCCTCGCGGTGTGGATGGAAGGACGATGTTGGCGAGACAGAGGCCGAGATCCCAGAGGACGACGGCTGGGAGTACACATCAGTGATCCTTGCCAACCTGAGCAGACGCGCGCAAGGTGATCGCACCCAAGACCGTCACTTGTCCCGACAGGGTCTCGAAGAGGGCTTTCAGTAGCCGCGGTGTCGCAGTGAGGAGGAGCATTGGCAAAACCGTGGTGGACGGAGAACAGGGCGGCACTTGGACGCGTATTATCAAGGACTCCAACCGGCTACCGAAGAGCAGCGTCGAAACACAAAGGGTAGGCCGGTGCAGCGCTCAGCGCGGACGCGGTGCGAAAGCCCCGGTCTGCAAGCAACTTCGGCGCGGTCTTGGGCAGCTCGGTATTTCACCAGCTCCGTAAAGCGATACATGCTGCGGGGAATGTCATCTTCCAGGATAAGCGAGATATATTACATGGCTCCCTGTTGAGTTCCAGAAGTTGCCGATAGCGGGAATGCAATGTAGCCCCAAATGAATCGAAGGGCAAGGAGAGATGCTGCCGCTTTACGATCGGAAGGAGATGATTGATCCCTGCGAAGGAGCGAAAGTCCATAAACGGAAAGCGCGGAAGGACGCAAATCCGCACGTGACATATTTGTTTTGACAGGCGGAAATTCGTGTGGCATGATTGGTCCAGCGCTCCGGTCCCGCTGCTCGCACAAGGCTGCTTTGCTTCACCATGGTTTCGAATGTCTAGTCTCGCGACGCGTCAGGAAACATACTGTACACTCGCGAGATACCGGTAAACCTCGTAGGTTTCTCGGACGTTCACACGTTCAGGCGATTCCGTATCACACTGTGTGTCCCCCTTACGCTCGTAAGGAGGTCATTGACAAGATTTGCAGTTAATATAGGCCACGCCCTCGATCATCCGTTCTCATGGCTGTCATTGGCGCTTCCTTTCTTCCTTTGTGGCACACGAACGCAGAGTTGGTGTCGATTCCACTCAATCCTCGAAGAGCATCTCAATAAATGCGGAGCACTAATCCTCCTGCACACTTTCGAATCAAGACCCAATCATCGGCCTGAGCTAGACAATTCTTGTATTCCGCGCACTTACCGTCTTCACCATCTTTTCCGCGATCTTTCTCACGGCACTATGAATGTGAAGGCTTCGACGTTGACAACGTTCATTATCAATCATCGATCTTGCGGAGTTTTTCTGCCTCTCGGATTGTTTCGCCCCTCCCAGATTCATCAAATCTATCCAACAACTATCGAGCAATTATCTTGTGCCATCAAGCCTCATTTGGCTGCGATGTCTCCGCAGGCGTATCATCGATTCTACGACTCACGCCAAAGGGCGAAAACGTCGGACACTTTGCCAAGGACTCCTACTCTTGTTTCTCTATCCTGTTCCCTATCCAAATTCCCGGATGGTCCCGGACGTCAACGAAGTCCGACCGACACCCTCTTAGTAAATTGCCAAAAGTTTTCATTCCCGTCCGGGATCCGGAAGAAGGCCTTCCCCACGTCAAACCGCTTGGGCCGGACAGATGTCGAAGGATGGACGAGGGGCGATCCGCCATTCGGCACGGAGGAAAAGACAAGACCAGCGCAGGGTCCGGAGCGCACGGCAATAGGCGAACACCAGGAAGGTCCAGTACTTAAGCTCATCGGAACCCCTCTGCGAGCTCGTGCACATGCGGATTGGCTTCTGCCTCTTTCCACACTCCGAGTCGATATCTGGCACCGCATAACGCTCGCAGGGGAAAGGATTCCTATTTTCCCTATTGATTACCCGCAGAGATTCGCGAGGGCCTATAACTAGAGACACGCACCCGCACCTTCCAGACTTCTCGACCTTACATCCCCGCTCTACCCCGCACCACGCAAGGGATGTCTTCCATACTTTCTGCGCCGCTCCGCGCGGTATCAAGCATTCTCGAACACGTTCATGCATCGTTATCTCCGGTCGACACAGACGGAGCCAACCCGACCGCTACGTCCAGCGAGAGCGGCGGATGGTTGAGTAACACCGTCGGTGAGTACTGCTCGTCTTGATCACCATCCTCCGTTCATCACGGGACTGTTATCCTTCATGCGTTCTGCCGAATGTCGAATCCGCATATGTGTGTTCAGATGCACTAGGCGTTCGGCATTCTGGCTATTCTTTTGACCTTTCCCTTCTTCTGGCTTTGAAACCTTTGCATGCTTCGCGGCAGAGTTACTATCTACGGCGTTCAAATGCAGTATTGATGATGAAGCGCCTGACTAACTACTCGAACACTGCACAGCCGACCTCGACAAGCTCGTGAGCGGCGGTAACCTCGTCAATGCTTCCGACATACCCGCGTTCGTCGACGCCATCCGCAACCTCAATGGTGTCGGAATCGATGATCGCGAAGGGCTGGTCAGCGACTTTTTATTCCTCTCTCGCTTCCGAAGAGGCCGCTAATAGATTGCCGGTGTCGGCACATACAGCTCGAGAAGCTGGTCGTCCTCATGTCCCGCCTGCCCGAAGATTCTGAGCTCGGAGCGAAGATGCAGAAGTTGTTCATCGACGCATGTCAGCATCTCAGCTTTTCACTGGACCCATTATAGTTCTCCGCTGAACTGGAGTGACGTCATAGTGTATAAGGATCTGCCTCACCCGCCCCAGGGATTCGTTTCGGATTTCGCGATTACCTCGCAGCCGACCGAGAGCGGTTCACCGACGACGATCGCGGGTGCCAAAGGCCCTTCTACTATCCCCGTTCGTTCTTCCTTTGCTCAAATGCAGCTTCTCTAACGCGTGGATGGATTGACAGACGAACCCCAACATTGGCGCTGGTCCTCAAGTCACATTTGCCGCTGACGGCCCGAAACCCAATACCAACGGAAGCGCGAACGGGAACGCGTCGAATGGATATGGCGCCGCGGCGCAAGGGGTTAAGCGCCCGGCGTATGTGTTCAGGACAGACGACGGATCGTCGTACAACCCTCTCATCCCGGATTTGGGCAAGGCCGGAACGCCGTACTCGAGGTAGGATCGATAGATAGAACATCCGGTCCCATCGTGCTGACTGTTGATCAGGTCGGTGCCGTCTATGGTCTCGACACCCGCCACGGCGCTGCCCGACCCCGGCCTAGTGTTCGACACTCTTCTCAAGCGGCCTGACGACCAGCCTTTCAAGGAGCATCCAGGCGAGTATTCTGCACTCGCTAACTGACATGGCCGCCACAGGCTCATCACCACCCACAGGCGGCCTTTCTTCCCTCTTCTTCGCCGTCGCGGACATCGTCATCCACAACGTGTTCGACACTGACCACTCGAACCCGTCGATCAATATGACCAGCTCCTATTTGGACCTCGCCCCCCTTTACGGCGGCGGAACGAAGACTGTGTTCGAAGGAGGACACTGTTTGAGGATGCCGGTGCACGAGATGCGGCAGTTCGATGGGCGCGGGTTGATCTGGGAGGACTGCTTCGCCGACGCGAGGCTGTTGTCGATGCCTCCCGCAGTCTCCGCGATATTGGTCCTACTGAACCGTAACCACAATGTGAGCTGGGTTTTAATCATCGCAACGGCAGGCGATTTCTCATACACTCGTCCAGTTCATTGCGAAGAAGATCCTTGCTATCAACGAGAAAGGCACCTTCGCGGACCCATCTACTCTTAGTGAGGATGCGAAGTAAGCTCTCGTTTCGCGAGGTTTTGTCTGCGTCCTCTTAATAAACCTTTACAGGCGCGCTCAAGACGACGAGTTGTTCCACCGCGCTAGGCTTGTAAACTGCGCATACTGGGGTCAGGTCGTCCTCGGCGACTATGTCGGAGGTATCCTTGGTCTCATTCGGGATGGCAGCCCGTGGAGGCTGAACCTCCTTCAGGTACATAGCAGCGCCAATCTGGGTCCTAACGTACAATGTTGACTTACCTCATCATCTCCTAGCAAATGCGCGACGGTGATCACGAGCTCGCGCCTCGGGGTGAAGGCGCGTCCGTATCTGTCGAATTCAACATGCTCTACCGTTGGCACGCGACGACCTCCGCTCCCGACGCGGCGTGGATTGGCGCTGCGTTCCAGCAAATGATGCCCGGGAAGCCGTACGACGAGATCACCCCACAGGACTTTGCCATGGCGGCAAGGAAGTGGCTCATTCCGGACCGTGACCTCAGGAAATGGGCTCCAGCAGGGTGTGTATCGAGACCTCGACGTACTTGAGTAGTGATGTTGATGGCTGGTGGTTTACAGCATGGCGCGCGGCGATGACGGCCTATTCCCCGATGAAGTCTTGGCCCAGATCCTGCATACGGCTACTGAAACCCCAGCCCATGCTTTTGGCGCGAGGTCAACGCCTGACGCACTCCGTGTCATTGAGATCATGGCCCTTCAACACTCCAGATCATGGGGCACTTGCACTGTATGTGTCTCCTCTTCATAGCAATGTCGTATCTAACGGGTCCATTCCAGATGAACGAGTTCCGATCATACTTCGGTTTGAGACGTAGGTTTGCCAGCGTCATGACGATATGAAAATACTTAGCGTGCTGTATAGCATACGCCAACTTCAAAGAGTGGAATCCGGATCCGGCAATCTACGTGAGCCTGCTTCCCACAATCACACTTATCTGTGATGCTGACCATCGACTACAGAAAGCAGCGGAGGCTCTGTACCACCATATCGATAATCTTGAACTCCACGTGAGCCTATCATTTCCTTCGCCTAGGGCATACCCCTCACCATCACCGTCAGACCGGACTTCAAGCTGAGGAGACGAAAGAATCGATGCCCGGAGCGGGTCTCTGCCCCGGGTTTACCATCGCTCGTGCTATCCTTGCCGACGCTGTTTGTCTGTGCCGTGGCGATCGCTTCTTGACGATCGACCTCACTCGTAAGTGCAATACCCAAATTCAGAAGACGTTCACTGAAACCAACATGTCCCGCAGCCGCAAACCTGACATCTTGGGGCTTCCAGGACGTCATGGTGAACAAGGAAGATGGGTCATACGGAGGTATGGCGGAGTATATCATAGCTTCGTTGCTGCCACTGATCCTTCGATGCTCGCTTCAGGTATGCTCACAAAGCTGTTTTTCCGCACGCTTCCCGACTACTTCCCTCGCGGATCGGCGTACGCGCACTTCCCTCTCATGGTTCCGTCTAAGATGCAGAAGTACGCGGCGAAGAACGACCCAGCGAACGTCGCTAAGTACACCTGGACGCGCCCGCAGCCTACCAAAGGGATGACTGTCATTAGCACCTACAAGGGCGTCGAAACCATCATGGAGAAGAGAGATTTGTTCGTATCCGCGAGCGACCAGCGTCTTTCACTGCTCGTCAAGGGTCTCAAGACAGACCGTGATACCGTAGGTTCAATTGCCATCCTAGGTTGAAGCCATTCCAATACACTCTCACAGGTAAACAAAGCTTTGTGTGGTGCAGAACAGCTCCAGAAATGGTCGAACACTTTCGAGGAGATTACTCTGAACCTCGTGCAACACAAGACGATCACTGCCATCAGCGCCAAGACGAAGTACCTCGACGTTGTCAAGGACGTCCTCAACCTCGTTCCTGTGTACTTCATCGCGAATGAGTTGGTGGGTACCTCTGTTTTCCTGCCACAGGAGATGTCCTGACATAGCCCTCCAGTTCGGTCTCCCACTGAAAACTGCTTCGAATCCTCGTGGGATCTACAGAGATCACGAGCTGTATGAACGTTTCTCCACCGTTGCGAAGTGCGTTACATCGAACGTGAACCGATTCCGCAAAGCTGACATCCCACAGTTATGTGCTCATTAACTATGACGCGTATGATGACTGGACCCTGCGACTGAAGTCCGCCGATACCGCGGAAGAGTCGCTGGAGTACATCACAGCCCACCTCGACAAGATTAGAAATGGCATGGTGCGCTCTACTCCCCTCTTATCGTAAGGCGTTGCTCATCGGGATACCTAGTTTTCGTACTCCGGATTCAAGGACACGATCTCCTCCTTTATAACGTCTAAGAACGATCACTCGGAAGATTTCATGACGAAGTGGCACGCGTTGGCCGGAAGGAATGCCCCCCACCCGGAGATGGCTGCTAGCCTGTTTAGCGAAGTCGTGCCCTCCGCCGCCGATTATTCCTCGGCCCTCGCGCACGTCGTCGACTTCTACCTGCGCCCAGAGCATGCGGAAGAGCTCAATGACATTATAGCGGGATGCTCGGGCGACAAGGGACGATGGACCGAAGCACGTCTTGTAGGGTACATACGCGAGGCATTGCGTGAGTTGCCCGGGTATCTCGCCCACGTTCAGCGAATGATTGAACATTTTATAGGGTTGAATCCGCCCGTGTCCATGATTTACCGGACTGCGAAGGCCGATACCGATGTTGACGGGACCAAGGTCTCCGCGGGCCAGACGGTGTACGCGAACTTTGCCGAGGCAAACGTCGACGTGAGTGCTTGCATTCCCTGGGTTAACATCCCGCCGACATTCATCCCCAGAGCACCGTATTTGAAACCAATGCACACGAGCCTGACTTTGCGAGAACCGCGCACGGGTTATATAGCCTTGGAGAAAATGGGTACGCCACGGAGGACATCTGGTCATCCGCACCCACTTACGCCGTTCTTTCAGCCTGATGACACCGGCGTTCTTCGAGAAGACGGCTCCTCATATTCTTCGCACAGTCTTCTCCTTGAAGAATCTGAAACGCGGCCCGGGTGCATCGGGCAAACTCACGTCGTGCGCGTCCATCCGCATGACAATCATTTGACTACCGCTCACGAGATTCATAGGTTCACGCAAAGCATCGAGGGCACCGCCCAGCGCTTGTATATTGACATGGATGGCAAGTTGACTCCGTGGCCTGCCTCGTTGCTGGTGCAGGTCAGTATGTTCGGTGATGACGCCAAGTCCCTTACTGAGCCCAGATATACGCAGTATTCCTGAACGGGCAACGAACTGGCGGACGGCGGCGGAGTGGATCGGATTGCGCGAGCTTGAGCATAATCTGTATCATACAAAACCTTAGTTGCAACCCACGGGCTCCAGCCGAAACGGTTTTTAATGATGAATCCGTTCTTCTTTCAGTCTGATGTACATGCGAGGGCGCTGAAAGGCGGCGGGAAATCGACAATGGTATAGTTCAAGCGTATGGGTCCTGATATCGTTACGTGAACGGACCAATCGAGCTGCGTGGCCCGTGACTTGGATCTTCTCAGTTGGGCGTAGGAGTCGCGTATTCGGTGAAAACGATCGTTTTCCTGTCAACAATAGGTAGCTCGTCAGTTAAGTCGACAGACCAGATAATGGCCACATACGTGATCTCCGTCAAGTACGGCGGCTCGGGAATGAGAGTGTTAATAATCCGAGTCATCCTGTAAGCCCTGAGTTCAGTAGTGGACGGCAGATGTTTACGATCTAGTCGTACGTGTACGTGTGGACCGGAACTGCATCAGCCGCCTCGGCGGTGACGGCGGGGGCCTGTGGGCGATTCGTAAGTATCCCGCGCCGTCGGATACACGATGTAATACACATACCGGAGCAGTGGCGCACAACGTAGCGACGGACGCGAGCAGCGCGAGAACGGAAGCGGAAGAGAACTTCATCGCGAAGGCGCACAGGAGCGTTTGTTTCGAATGCTGTGGCTACATCCCGCACCGCGGCACGGCCTTTATACGTCTGACGAAGCGCGGCCAATCCTTGGACAATTTCCACTATGGCGCGTTATGCATGTGCATACCGTAGCGTCTCGGCCGCCACAATGCCCAATACCCACTGATACCACCGGGAAACATTATTTGGACTGAGGTCATCCAGGATTGGTGTGTGGCTACACGGGTCTAGAATTCATCTTTGGGTGTCCGACCATCGGATGCGCCGTGTATGGAAGGCTGAGATGGATGTATGTTCACAAGAAGAGGTTATCCGCGCGCGACAAATCGCGGACGAAGCTCGTTAGCTCGTGACCCCTGCACGAAAATGACACTAAAACCTAGGAAATGCATAGGTTAGGACGGTGTTCTTTTCACATGAACGTCCACTTGCTCCTCATATAACCAAGGATTCTGCGTGAATTTGGAGCATGCTGGCAGGTAGAACAGATGAGCCAGCGAATTATGAGCTAATGGCGGGCTCGTAGCGAGTTCAGAGGCGCGTCAGCAGCGCATAGCTGATTACGAGATGGTCGTCATCTTGATGACCAGGGCCCAAGTGAGACAGCTTGTAAGGGTCCTTGGAGGACAAGCGAAGGCCAGTCCGGGGGCATGTGGCGTTGCGTCACTATAGAAGCGTCTGCGCGTGCATCGAGCCATTATTGATGTGTCGGCCGCCGGTATGCAGCCGCGTGAGGGGCGGCAACGCGAAGAAGCAGATCGCATGTAGATTTGCCAAGTGTATCAGAAAGAACGCGTACGGGAAACAGTGTTAGAGGCTAATTCACGCTGTATTTTCGGCGATGGCCGGGACAGCGCCTATTTTGCGTGGTTAAGCATTGGAAGCGGAGCACGTAGCGGATACTTGAGCAATTTAGGGACTGCGACTCTCTCGCGCGGGGGCGCCGTAGGAGTACGCACAGGGTCCATACGCATTGTAAGCAGGTGTCGTCGTGTCGTGCTGGCTTGGCGGTTGAGGAGAGAATGATGATGTGCGAGAATGCAGGCACGTAGTCATTCGTGTGGCACGGCGCAAGAAGAATGAAAGAACTTGCGGTTAGGAACGAAAGCATGCAGCTGGGGACCCGCTGCATGGTCAAAATTGCGTCGAGCCTACGTCCGATAGACCGCAATTGATGTGTCGTATAGCTTGCTGTGATTTGACCGCACTCGAACCAAGTGGTTATTCTGCGATCGAATGGCGTCATCGTCGGCTTCTAGTTTGATGATCTCCTGAGCGGACAGACGCAAGACCATGTCCATGCAGGGTTCCGATACATCTGCAATCGCCGTCGGGGAACGAAAGAGGAAGAAATGGGCCTTCCGATCCCCCGTGCGCAAACTCGAACTCGGAGCGAGGGTGCTTTGTCGGACCTCCATTATTCAGGGCGCAACAGATGTCGTTCGGTATGTATCGTGCGCAAAGTGCCCAAATCACGAATATCGCGATTGCGAGCCTCGTATGAGGAGCAACAGCCAGATCGGCCTGTACATGCTGGATTTCAATGCATCCCGTCACGCTGTCGACTGCACGAGTGGCGTACGTGCAGCGCAGCAACCGGCTGTTCCGCTACCGGGACCCCGTCGGCAATCTACCTACCTACCTACCTACCGTGATCACAGTAGTGGAGGCTAGCGTACACTAGCCCGCCGATGGGGTTGCCGCGCGAGTCCACGCCGTGAGGGTCGAGTTCTATAAAACTCATTCAGTATGGGTACGAGCTGACGAACGCGAGAGGACACGTACCGCCTCCGTTGGAGAGGCTGCCGCCGGTCAGATCTAGGCATTTGCCGCTGGCTAGGCAGCAGTATAAAAATAACAAAAAGGCAGCTCCCGCTTTCAGTCAAAATAGACATCTCGTTCGCTCGCTTCGTCCAGGTCAGACTAATGGGTGGCTGGATCAGCCCAAGGATGACAACGACAAGGACCGTTATATGACAAGAAACTCACTTGTTATCGCCGTAGGCCGTATACCAGAACTGTTAGTTCGGGGTCGCTCGCGTCGCAGTCCCAGATGACGATGGAATGGAGCACCGATTTGGCAAACATTTTACGTAGGGAAAGGATGTTTGGGCGGAACGCAGCGCGAAGGAACGAACGTTGAGCAGCGTACTTCTGCCATCGAATGACACCATCGAACGACGGCTTCCGCCGTAACATTGAGACTATGAAGGCGTAAGTAAAATAGGGACCAAGTAGTCTGTCGCGTGAACCACGAGTAGTTGGTTGCACATCGGCGTGCGTCTCTCGCTGCCGGAGTGCGGGAGGACGCAACTCGTCCACTTAAGACTTCTTTGGGATTATTCCCTCTGTTCTATAACACACATATCGTTGGCAACGGGATGTTAAATCTCCACAAAGGATGCCGTCACAAGTCCTACAATGCCAAGGGGGGACAGACGTTGACGACGCGACGGACGCGCTCTAGGCTACGTACCCTCACTGTATTGTTCATTGCTGTTTCGCTGCCTCGACGGCGGCATGGACCTGCTCATCCACTTGCTTGTCCGCTACCTCTCCAAACGGCTCTTTCGGTACCATCGTTGCCGCGCCCACCGCTCCGCCATCGGCCGGTAGCGCCTGCTGTGCGTTCTTACCCTTCCCGGGCGGTGGCGGATGGTATACCTTTTTGGGCTGTGGTATGATTCAGCACAGCGCTATCATCAGGACCGGGTTGTGAAACATGATAATGAAAGAAGACCGCCGCACCTTCTTCTTCCCTTCCGGCTTCGCGTTGGGGTCCGGGTACGCGAGCTTGGTCACCTCCTGCCACTCGGGGTCGGCCTCGTACGCCTGCCGTATCGGCGCGAGCAGGCTGACGATCGCCTCCGCGACGGCCTTCTTGAGGTCGCCCGGGTGCAGCCTCTTCGCCGCGAACTCGTCCCTCATCTCGTCGAACGACTTGTAATGGCTCGGCCCGCCCCACTTCTCGTCCCGGTGGACGGTGAACACCGTACCGTCCGGCGCGCCCTCCCCCACGAACGGCTTCCGCGCCTCCTCCTCTCGCACGTCGTCGTCGGCCTCCGCGCCCTCTTCGACGTGTCCGAGCGACTCGCCCCGGAGCCGCGCGAGGCGGAGCTCGCTGATGGGGATGAGCACGGCCTGGACGAAGGAGAGCACGCCGTTCTCGGCGACGTTGCCCTCCTCGCAGAAGGCGGCCTTGATCTTCTTCCGGACGAGCTCGGGCGGGTCGAGGAAGTCGATCTTCGAGTTCGGGTCCGAGGACGACATCTTGCCGCCCGCGAGGCCGGGCACCATCGCGTTCATCAGGTGCGCGCGTTTTTTGTAGCCGAGCCGGGGGAGGTAGAGCTCCGCGAAGGTGAAGATCTTTCTCTGTCGGGTGTGATACGCGGCATGAGCGACAGGGGATTGCGGTGATGGAAATGAAGAGGGAGCAGAAGGGAGGAGGAGGGGGAGAACCTGTTTATGAGTGACACGCACCTGATCGACGCCGCCGAATTGGAAGTCGCAGCCGAGGTACTCCTCGTCGAGCGCCTGCAGGCCGGGGTAGAGCAGACCGCTCAGAAGCGGGCTCTCGACCTGCTTCACGACCTCCGCGCCCGCCTTCTTCGCGTCGTGCTCGGTCACGGTCGCGCAGAGTCGGTAGTTGTCGAGGTTGTACTCCTTCGTGAGCTGGTAGGAAGAGCCTTCGACGAAGCGCAGTTTGGAGGTCGGGATGCCGAGCGAGCGGAAGACGGCGACGAGGACGAGCTTGTAGTATTTGACGCGGTACGCGACGAGCTCGAAGGGTGCTTTCAAGTTGTCGAGGAAGGCGTGGATGTCTATCGGGCGAAGGGAGGGAGGGGGGAGTGGAAGGAGGGCGTTAGTCGAGGGATTTGAGATGGATCATCTGGATATGGTGCGGACCTGCAAGAAGGACAGTGACCTGCGATTGGACCCGTCAGCGGATGGATGCGAGACACGGGTGAAAGCGACGGACCTCGACTCCGGCGCGCAAAAAGTCAGCGATCTTGGTCAACGGGACGAAGTAGCCCAGGTGTGCTAACGGCGAGTCGGTCGTCAAGCGTCACGAATATCGAGCACGGCTTACGACGACCGGTAGGAGCAGTACCTGACTTGTTTCTGGTAAATTACCCCGCGCCGGACACGAGCAGCAGGATCCGCTCACCCCAGTAACATTTCGGCGTCCTCCCCTCAGCAAGGATGGCCTTGATCAGGTCCCCGCCCAGCACCTCCTGCAGCCTCCGGGTTATCAGCTCATATTTCGCATCTGCCGCTGCGGTCGCCATCGTCGAGTGCGATCAAGGGAGAGGAAGTATAGTACAGAGTAAACACGGATGGCTGCAAGTCATCGTCGCGAATCCTCCAAAAAGTGACTCGTTTACCAGGCTGATCACGCGATCATTCGCATGTATATCATGACTAGTATCTTTTCTTTTCTGGTCCACCCCGACTTTGCTCAGAGGTTGGTCCGTACGTATGTACTGTGCGAGTACGGGGACACGCGATAGATTGCAGTCGGGATAATACCGAGGATATACGCAACATCGATATCTCCTGCACGGCGGCCTCAGGAATTTACGCGACCCGGCGGCTGCGAGCCCCCATTCCAATCCGGAGGCGATAGTGGGCCCTTTCCACCTCGCCTATGAGAGACCCATCCGATCTTGGCGACCCGAACGTCGGAGACCGTCGATCGGCTTTTTGGGATCGTGCGCATGGCCGCCCGCGCAGGGGGGGGGGGGGTTTGGCGACCATTGCGTCCGACTTCGGAGGCCGTACAGCGCCGGTTGGCGTTTCGAAATCGTCCGATGGGCGACGGCAAAGTTGACGGTGGTGGGGGTGTGTATCGGGTTGATAGTCTGATGGATGGAGGCGGTCATCATTCGCGAGCGCCTCTGAAACCAAGGCAGACCCAGTACGCCTCGCTCGAGTCCGATCGGCTCGACTTGGGCTTGGAGATCCGCACGCGGTTGAACGCGGGCTCGAGCTGCTCTTTGCGAAACTCGGTGAGATACGGGTGGTCGAAATACTTGATCCTGCAAGAAACAAGTCCGATATGATTCAGTTCCCCAATTTTCGAGACCCGCAGAGGGTGTCGTAAAGGGGGGGGGGGG